GAGCCAGCCCCGCTGGCTGTGGGGAAACTGGGACCTGCTCCGTGTCAGGGGGACCCCGGTGCGTGTGAACCCGGCGGTCGGCGGAGCTGCACAGGCCCACCCGTGCTGCGTGTGTGTATGGAAGGGAGAGGCACACGTGGAGGGAATTTCACTGTCAGCTCTTAAAAACTGCCACATGGTGTATGAGTATTTGAATTATAAAAACTACTAGTGCTGTCCCGAGTATAAACCAGTGGTCTTCCTTAGCTGACAGCGAAAATCACGGCTCCAGGAGCTGACAGCTCAGTAGGTCTCAGCGAGTACTCAGGGGTAGGGACTGTCTTCTCTGCACACTTCTCTAAACACAGATTCTTCTTTCTGCTTTATTCCCAAATGCACTGCAGTACTGGGAAAACACTTGGGCCCTCGGGTTTTTTCCTCAAGTATATATGTCAGTTTGGTGAGCTTATGTTGCACCTTGAATATAATCAAGGCGGTTTGGTGTTCAAAAGCACAGCTTTCGAGGATACCTCAGTGTTTGAAGGTTCATGCTGGGCCTGCCCTGATGCCTCAAGTGATGGTGAAGTACAGTCTTTGTTTTCAGAATCGCAGCTCCCTTCATTCAGCTGCAGAACATTTCAGGTTTTATGGGTTCAGTAGGTTGTCTTAAGGCACATAAACAACTGCCTGCTTGTTGATGCAGGTTTGGCTATTTGCTTTTAGAAAATTTGGCCATTTATGAGAACCACGAGATGTAATGTCAGAACAAGTGAACAGCCCACTGAACAGCAGTGTCATTAATGATAAAGGCCAACAAAATCTGACTTTGAATGTGATTAAAGGTTAATCTTGTTCTCTTACCTACTTTCTGATAACGTAAAAGTGTTCTTAGTTTCCAGTTAGCACGTGATTCTTCAGAAGAATAAGATTAGGGTGTTCATGCTCTAATCAGCAGCTATCCAGAATTTATCAACCTTGAAGCCAAGGGTTTAATTTTATTTCAGAATTGTTGACGCTGCTTTGGAAATGTTTGATAAACCTATAAATATTTAGTCCTGTGCACTTCTGCACTTTTGGCAATGGTTCTGTATTCACAGCTGGATAAAAGTATTCACTTCCTCAGAGCTGACTTGTACAGGAACCATCAGATTTTAGAGGTAAATGAGAACAGAAGTTTTCCATTTTATTTTGCTTCACCACTAATTATCTGATACTGATGGTCTGTTTGTCTCTGATTGGCTCTTTCTTTTTGAACTTCTTCTTTTTTCCCAGTCCTCTGTTACAGAAAAGATTATTCTCCTTGCTTCACTGTTCCAGAGCAGCCCATGCAAAGATTTGTTTTAACATTTTACTATTCTTTGTACTGTTTACTATCTTACTACACATACATTTGCATTTTTCTACAGGATCATTCTTTTTTTGTTTTCTTCCTGGGCCTTTGGCTACTTTTAATAAGCAGCAGTGCAAACTCTTTAAAAATAAAACTATCTTCTGAAAATCTTACCATGTTCATCTGGTGTCCACGACATAAATGCTGCCAACAAGCTAAAAGTAATTTTAGAAGTGGTTGAAGTGAAAATAATTAATTGCATTTATTTTGACACAGGTATGAAAACTCAATGGGGTCGTCCAAAAATGTAATAAGTGAGCCTGTTGATGCAGATGAAGGCTATAACATGATGGTAAGATGTTCAGCTACTGTAGCAGTATGTGGTACAGTATTTTTTCTACAGCCAGAAAAACTAATTTTTCATGTTGGGATTCATTGATAAATCAGTTTATTTTTACCTTCTGTGAAAGTATTGATTGTAGGAGCTGAATAAATTTTATTCATTAGCATCATAGAAGGAAACCCTCAAAAAGGAATTTTACTGTAGGATAAATGTGAGTATTTCTTCTGTTTTTCATAGTTTCCAGTTGTGTTAGTGTATGGGGGTTTTGGCACTTATTTGTTTCAGCCAGTTCCCATTTTAAACTGCTTTCATCCAACCTGTGCTGCAGTGCAAGGCCCTGATGTTTGGTACCACTAAAGAGTGTTCTTTGAAGAAGCTGAGGTCAGACCTGGAGTAATTTTCTTCAAGAATGCAGTGGGTGAAATTGGTAGTTTTGTTTATATCAATATATTTATATGTATGAACACCATTAAAGGAAGAATCCTCATGAAAGATCCTCTAATATTCATGGTAAAAGAAACAGTACAGACTAAATAACAAACATTTGCTGTTCAAGCTAAACAGTTTCTGGTCGGTCCTCTGGCTCTGTATCCAGAGCACTCTGAAGAAGGTGACTTCTTTGGGTAGTTCAGGAGCAAAGAGCAGGGGTTCAGGCTGAGGAAGCAGTCAAACCTCACATAGAGGGGGGTGTTAAAGTTTGCTCTTGTCAAATGAAAAGACTGTTGGTACCAACCATGGCACAACAACAGGCACTTTGGCACAATTTTCTCTCCTCAGTGGCTGTGCATTTCCTCATTGTTAACTGTGCCATCAGGGCCTCCCTTGAGGCTTTGTTGGATTCTTTTGACTGACATTTGAGTTATGGAGATGAGAGTTTAAAGTCAGGCTCTAGTTTTGTTATACAAAGTGCTTTGAAATGTCATGATGAGATACTTACACTTCCCTTATAAGCCTTTCTGGCTTGTATAAAAATAAATAATTTCAAAAGTCAGGGTGGTGGGGACTAATGTGAAGTTTTACACTCCCATGGGAGTAATGATCTCCAAAATGAGACTGAAAAATGGTTGTCTTGGTGGCAGCTGTGCAGAAAGGAACCTGGAGGTTATAGGAGGTCATATATGCAACAAGAGAAATCCTGCTGATGTCCTGGGAAGAGCTGGGTCTGCTCTGACCAGGGGTTGGACTGGACCTGCAAAGGGCCCTTCCAGGCTTTGTTTTTCTGTGACTGTGTAAGTTGTGCTAATTTATGTGTGATATGTCAAAAATTACCATCATTAATGATGCAAAGGTAGTCTCATAGTGCAAAAAGCCCCCACACATCATTTGGAGGTGATTAAATGGAATGATCACCTGTAAGATATGGATAACCTGTCCTCAGTGTTTAGCACTGAGAAAGTCTTCCCTGAAGTATTTGTATGTGCTTTTGGACGTTGTATTTCAAAGGCAGAATCAGCTGGAGACAATCTGGAAGAGAAAACACTGAGTGCTCAGATTCAGAAAACTTGAAATCTGAGATCTGGAAAACATGAGTAAAAGGACCAAAGGAGTAGGGATGGTAAGCCTGGAAAATAAGGAAAACCAATGAAGGATGAAATGGAACATAACAGCACAAAAAGTAGGGAAGAAAAACTGAAATGGTTTCCAAGTCCCCTGTGCAAGTCAAGAGTTGAGTGGGCTTGTGCTGTAGGAGAGCCACAGTCAAATCTCACATAGATTGTGCTGAGTGAACACTGTCTGCTGGTGGGGAATTTGGAAGAAAAAGATGCTATAGATGAGTAAAGATTTATTTGTTTACTCATTTCATTTTTGGCAGTTATGGATGCTGTAGATTAGCTTTACTTCCAGCTAAGGTGAGTGTTTGGATCTTTTTTGAAGATTTGAGAATAAATTAAAGTAAAATGCTGTCTGAAAATTCTTCTTTTGGTTTAAATACACATCTCAGAGGAGATCAAGTTAAAATTGAGTAAGCTTTCACAAGTATTTACATTGGGAGTTTATACAGTGGTTTAAAGGGATTTAAAATAGTTATGTGGCATTTGTGAATCTTTAACTCTTAGATCAATGATGGAAAGTGCATTGTTAAGCAACAGGGCATTAAAAACCCCAACCAAACTTGCCACAGCAGAAGTTATCACTTAGTAAAAGTTCCTAGTGAGAAGAGGCAATTAGTTGTATAGAATAAGGATAGATTAGAGCCAATTTTGTACAGATCCTGGGTTTTTTTTACATGCTTGTTTGGCTTTCTTTGGGCCAAAGTGTGTAATATGCTCTATTTATTACATTAGGTTTTCCAAAATTTCACTGATAGCAGTGGTATTTTTATTTTGCTCTTGCTGTGTTACCTGTGGTGTCTGTGGAGCACTAGATGGCACACTGTGACTTCAAAACAGGCAGTTGAGAACAAGTTAAAAACTTATATTATATAAATAGTGAAGTAAAAGCAGTTTCTCATTTGTGTTGCATTTCCTACCACCTTAATAACTTCTAGCCACTCATCTGCTGTATTCATTTTTACTGTAATTTTACTGTATTTTCTTTCTAAAGATGTAAAAGTGGCTGCAGGCCTGAGCTATATGATGGTAAGAATGAAAAGAGGAAAACTGTACCTCTTGATTAGTCTTACAGAGAAATCTGTCTGTTCATGCCTAAATAATATGTAGGTTTATGTAAGTTCTTTGTGGTTACACTTGCCAGTGTTTAAAGCTGACTTGGTCAGCAGTTTTGTGCTATCAGGGTACCTAAGTTTATTATTACAGTTTATAGTTTGGTTTTGTTGGAAATTATTTTCTGAGGAATAACGTCACACACTGTAGGAGAGGCAAGATTTTATCTGATTGATATCTCACAGTTGGTACAAATACTTTTTAATGCTTTTGGTTTCAAATGTCTCCTGATGGTGCATTTCCCAAGTGCAGGGAAATGTTTATTAGGTGAATGAAGTTCATCCTCAGTGTCTCTCATTCCATCTTTCAGTAGTTGCAGCTTCGTAGTAACAGCCCATCACAGTTGCCAGGAAATACTTTCTAGGTTCTTGTGCCTTTCTCCAGGCTCTCACCAGTCAGCCAACACAAGTATTTTGGTCTTATGCAGCTTTTATCTTGAATAATTAGTTCTAATTAACACAAGGTAATTAAAAAGTTTGTGCAGCCCACTGTGATTCTCTAGCAGCATTGGCAGTCAATTAGATGAAGGTGGTGTGGTCTGGGCATGTCATACTGTGGGCTGGATAATAACTCCCATGACATGTTGATGAATCACTCTGCTTATCATGCAGAAAAATGGTGGTGAGAATGGATGCATAAACCTGCTTCAGGTATTTGATGAAAATTCAGCACCTGAGCGTCCCAGTTTGGGTGGTGTAACCACAAATTGGAGGAAATTAATGTATCAAATCCAGAATTTCTCTTTCTTGATTCCCCATCCGTGTATTTCTTGTTTTCAGGCTTCTTTCCAACGCTCCAATAGCCATGATAAAGTGAGGAGAATAGTGGCAGAAGAGGGACGTACAGCAAGGAACCTGATAGCTTGGAGTGTTCCACTGGAAAACAAGGAAGATGATGGTATGTGTTGAACAGTCTTACACCAGCTCTTTCCACTCCCATCTCTCTGTCCACTGGAGTTGCTCACCTGGAAACATTTTTTTTACATAGGATTTCCCTATTAAAAAAAAAAAGGGGTTCTGTTTAGCATACATAGAATAATTTAAAAGTTTTTTTCCGAAGTGCACCCTGTGGTTGGCAGATCACTTTATAAAACCTTCCAGCAGCAGATTAAAAATCATCTCCATTTGTCTGTAAGTAACATCTAAGTCTGTTTTCTTGTGCTGATATTATCAAGATACTTGTGTAACACAATAATGTTGTCCTAAACTGATCTCTTGCAGCTTGGCAATTCAGAATTGTAGGGATGGCTTAGAACAATCCAACAAATTGTTCTCTGTGCTCTAAAACAAAGGAGTTTGGAAGTTGCTCTTGGTATCACTTCAGCTTTGGTAAACATCTCTGAAGAATCTTTAAGGAAGGGGATATGTGGGGACAGTTTTCCATAATGCAAGTCCTCATAGCAGTTTTGTTACTCTCTTGTGGTGTGATCACTTCAGGAGCCAAGAACTGACTTTTGTTTTTACACTGCTCAAGCTGTTCCAGAGGTCAGAATGCTGTTCTTGAGGACTTCATCTCTGGTTTTGTAGCTTGCATGTCCCTGGGCAGGTGCTGCTGCTTTTAAGTGTCTAAAAGTCAATTTGTTTGTGCTGTGAAGGTGTTTGACCACTGGAATCAGTTGCCTGGAGGAACTGTGGGCACTCATCTTCCTTGGAGATGCTCAAAACCTGCCTGGACATAGCCCTGGGCAGCCTGGAGGTTGGACTAGATGATCTCTAGAGGTTCCTTCCCACTTCAGCTGCTCTCTGATTCTGCCAGTGGAAAGGATATTTTAAGAAATGTTATGTCTAGTTGCAAGATAATTAACCCTATGTCTGATGCAAAATTTAAACTGTCTTTAAGCAGAATAGAATTGGGGCCCAAAGTACTTCCAGATTCCAAGTTGCACTTTTGGGGAAGGTGGTAATATGGAGGAGTGTGTGTGAAAGGAACATGCAGTATATTTCTAACAGTATTTTTGAGCAACTCCTGAGTTGATTCACTTTCTGTTTAAAGAGTCTGTTACATTGTTGCCTGTAATATTCTTTTAGAAACTTTAGGACTTTTTCCTTTAAAACCACTCTCTCTAATGTGTAGATGAACGTTTGCTCTAACAACTCCTGTCAAAACATGAAGAATGAATGTAAAAGTGACCTTTAGGTTTCATTAAATAGTAGTTATGTACAGTAATTAAAATCCAAGTAGCTGTATTCATTTCCTTCTTTTGGTCATATTAGCACCATTGTAATTTTTAAATTGGTGCTTTCTTCTTGTTAGAATCTCATCATTAAATCATAGGCTGACCTTTCTGCACAATGCAAGGGATCTAATGATAATTGCCTGATGGAAAATTTCCCTGTGGAAAGGAACTTGTGGTTAGTGAAAGTCTGCAAAGCCAGATTCTTTATCTCTTGACCCTTGCTTGGCATGGAAGGTGTCTGTGTTGGTGTCACTGAGCTCTGATTCACTGTGTGCTGATCTTTCAATATGTATTGTGTCCCTGAGGGGTGATCCAGAAATATTATGAATTAGGACAATTCTGGCTCTTTCAAGGGTTGTGTAAATCAGGCCAGAGGTTTGGGTTTCCTGAGCCAGTCCTGCCACCCTTCTGTACAAAGCAGGATTTTGTCTTTGGGCAGTTTCTTCTGCTGTGATGTTCAGAGGTATTGCTTTGGCAGCACCAGTGTGTGATTTAACATTTTAAATTATATGCTGGTATTCATTAGGAGATTCTTTTCCAGAAACAGTGAGGATATAAGCATTTTTTTAGAGAGGGTTTATAAATTAAAATGCTGGATTAATTTTTTCCATTTGTATCCTTTTTCTATTTCCTTTAAAAATTGTGTGCTTGTGTCCTTCTTACCATTTAACTCCTCCTCTGAGAGACTCGTGTTTTTTATATAGAGTGCATGGGCAAAAGAGCAATAATGAAAGAATTGCAATCAAAACCTCCTAATTCCTTGATGGAAATGTATAGTTCCTACCAGTGAGAAATATTTCATTAAAAAGGAAAGAGATTTCTGGAGTGACAGGTGACACTTCTGTTGCATGTTTTGGAGCAGCAAGCCCCCTAGTTATGTCAGATCTGAAATTCTAGTTATGAGTACAGATCAGTGACATTGCAGAGGCTTGACACTTAAATGCTAATAGAAAGTAAGATACCTTTGGAACTTTGAGATGTGTAAAAAATTGGAAAACCTTGTATTTGTCACTGTTCTCTTCTTTTTTCCTATTTGTTTAATATCACTTGGGCTCTTGCCATGTAGAATTCATTTGCAGACTAAGCATTTCAGGGGAAGGAAACATATTTTATTGGTTGAAAGGTGCCTGGCACACTTTGGGGAACCTGCAGTGTGTTCCACTGCTTTAACAAGAGCCTGCTGCAGTAAGTGGGTCTTGCAGGATGTGATGAAAGTCCTGAAACTTGGCTCTCTTTGGCCACATAAGGAATTGGAAGAGTCCTGACTGCAAACATTGTGTTGGAGCCCTGGCAAGGCTGGATCTGACTGGAACTGGCAGAAGGGAAGGGGATTCTTTGAGGCTCATAAGTTTCAAACCTTTAATTTTACTGGAATGAATGGGAATCCAGTCTGGTGCTGGTAGGTGAATACAGGGCCATTATATTCTGTATGAAACAGTGGCAGTGATTTGTAAAAGTAATTCTGTGCAAAATATGTTGCTGTAATTCAATCTGGAGGGGTAAAAACATGGGGAGTTTTGTTCTATCCATGCTTGAAGGCATCCATTTCTCCAGATCCTTAGCAATGTACTGTTAGAAAAATAGCATCTACTACTGCTCTACAAAATTCTAAGAAGATATGGTTTATAATACTACTAGAAACTTCAAATGCTTCCTCAGCTGAAAGTTATCATCCCTGCTGAAGGTCTGATGATGAGGAGTGTCAGACACTGAAACAACACCTGCAGCTGCTCTCTGCCATAGCCAGGACAGAAACGAACACTGAGATTAATTACTGAGTTTGAAGGCAATTCTCACACTTCTCAGACCAGTAAAACTATCCAAAACCAAGAGATGAGCAGTGTGATTGTTGAGATTTTCAGTATAAAAGATACCTTTGAAAATAGGTTATCAGTGGGGTGTTCTTGGCAGATACGGCACCTCAGCTTTTTGGACAGGAAGTCTTCACAAATCATAAACCCTGTGTGCTTCATATTCAATCACCAGACAGGGAGGAAATGGGCTTCCAGTGTAAAATATGGCTGTAGCTCCCTGAATGCTGCAAAACTTTGCTACTTTATATATTTCACATGGGCAACTTAATAGCTGATGAGATGCTCATCTTGGGTCACTGTTGTTCTCTCCTCACAATTCAGTAAATTCCTCGCAGGTGAAGCCCTTCCCGTGTCCCTGAGGTCTGTGCATCTCACAGCAATGCCAGCACGGTGTAGTTGCACCCCAGTTACACCCCAGTTACACCTCAGTTACACCCCAGTAATCTCTGAACATACAAATAACCACTGAGCAGTGCTCTTGTGCTGTCACTGCTCGGGAATGTAAAAGGACAAAAGCAGAAACCTTTGAATAACCAGAGCCCTTATTGTAAGAAAAAGAATAACAAAGCCTGGAAATGTGGCTGCTGCTGCTGAAATGCAAAATTTTCTGGCCTTAAGAAGAAGTTAGTCCTTGTCCCACACTATATTTTTTTAGGTTTGCAAAACCTGCTGTATTCGTAAGTTTTGCTTTCTCTAAGTGTCTGCCTCATATAGAAGGTGCCTGAAAACTTGCTTTTGTCTTTACAGGGGACTTGTTCAGACAGTTCTTAGCTGATGGATTGTTACTCTGTTTTTTATAGAATCTAAAGAGATTGTAACTTCATGTTCATCTGCCCTTTTTAAAATGCTAACATACCCATATTTGTTTGCAAACCTTTTCCCTGTGCAAGTCCTGTATGCCATTGTATTCCCATTGTCTTTGCAGAGTGTGAATCACATCAGAAGAGAGACACTGGAGGTTGAAATAATTCAGTTATTCTGACATGGAGCTGTCCCACATTTTAAGTTTTTTAGTGACTAGGAAGATTTTATTCCTCCAGTAGCTGAATGACTTTTTTCCTGAATGCTGCTGAATTGAGTTCAATATATTAGTTTGTGCCTGTTGTTTCGGCTAATGTAGAATTTAAAAAATGAATTATCAAGCAAATAGGTTTTAATTTGTTTTAAATTAAAAGCCTTGTTGCCTGGAATAGCCAGTGATACAACCCAGCTGTGCAAACCAGCTGTACAACTGCCTGATGGAGACAGGTTTGCAGCTGCTTTACATAACCAGAGCAATGTAAAACAGCTGGGCTGTGTTAGGGAATTTGGCCTCAGAACTGCTAAAAACTCAACTGGACAATTCTGAAATTCAAGAATGATCTCGTGGTCTAGGGGAGGACCATATTCAACTAATTCATTGATTTGCTTGGCTTCATCCAGCTAAATAATGTTGAAGCTTTTATTTAGATGTAATCTGTGCTAGAGAGCTCTCTTGCCATGGTTACTGTTTTGTCTTAGCTCGCTTACATTTTTGGTAATTGGATCCTATGATTTCCATGTTGTGCAAGTCAGATACTGAGTTGGAGGAATAAAATTTTTCAAATTACCCCCCCAGCAAATCTCAAAGATGAAGTGCTGACAGATGGGGTTGGTCTGGGCTAACACAGACTTTTCTATGCCAAGATAAGTCTAAATCAGTGAATTGCCACCCCCACAGCACTGAGGTCTGGAATCATCCTTTCTGGGTGTGGGCATTTAAACTTCTGGTTTGGGAAGCAGAGTTGCTAAAGTCACTTTGTATAAGCAGTGAAGGGAGACAGGTACCTTTCAGAGGGCATTTCAGATCTTAAAGGACTGACTTGTCTTCTGGGAATGTTTTCTCTCTTTCTTTGGCTCCCTGAATGTCGGTGAACTAAATCCAGGCCCAAGTTCTGTTTTTCCCTGTCTTTCTTGGCAGAAAATACTTAATCTACTAGGAGGTTGAACAGTTCCAGAAAAACTAAGTTATTACATTTTTTTTTCCTAACAAATATATTTCTTGTTTTGATTCTGTAATATCTGATTGAACAGTCATTCAAGAGAAGACTTTTTTTTAAATCTACCTAGAAAACTAGTATATTTGGCATGTACATTGAAATGGTATGATTTTCAGAGGCACTGAACACTCAAAGATAGGTTATCTTCGTTTAATGAAGTCTGTAATTCTTGCCTATCTTGTATTTTTTTTTCCTTTTTCAGTGTTTTCTGGCATTATCCACATTCTGAACAGTGGAATATATATTTGGAATATAAAATTTGCCGAACCTCTTCACTCAGAAATTGTGCCCCTCTCAGAACGATGCAAGATGAGATATGAGTGCTCTATTTAATTAAAATCACTGTTGTTGATTAAAATGGTTGCTTCCCTCCACAGGAAAATCGAAATGGCAGTCTGGTGGAAAAACAAAGAGGGTGACTCAAGGAACACACAAGACTGCAAAACAGGTATCTGCTCGTTTTTTATTGTGACATCAGATGGATGACATAAAAATGTTCTCCTCTGAGATCATTTATACATTTTTGGCTGAATAATACTTGTCCAAAACTGGGCACATGTTGTGTTTTTAAAGCATACAGGTTTCAAAGTCAAGTATCCAGAAGTTAAAATTGCCAGAACTTAGGTTATCTTCCTCAGCCTTTACTTTTGGCCCTTCCTACCTTCTGGGTGCATGGCTGAAAGTTATTTTGAGGAAAGTGCTGTTCAGTGAAATGCTACAGAATATTCTTCCTGTAAGCATGCTGCTTGTACAAGGGCTGCCTTTCTCCCCAGTTTCTAATTTGAGGAAATGCTCTTATTTGAAGTCAGTATACCCTGTTTTGGAAAAAAGTCCAGGTGAGTAAAATTTCCAAGAGTTATGACTGGAAGGCAAGTCTGAATGAGAAGTGTAGAGAAGAAACTGCTCTTATTTTTATTAATATTTTTTTCTGTGTGGCTGACAGTCTTTATTCCATCAATAAAGTAATATCTCAATGTTTCCTTGTGTTTCATATTTTTAACCATTGTTTTTCTTTGATTAATGGATTTGGCCATTAGTATGGCTTTAGCCATTTAGTATTTTGTGGCAGTCTGTCAGAATTTGACAATAAAGCATGTGGAAGATGTTATTTTTTGAAAAAAGAAAGTGTTTTGCTTCCATAGAGACGTATGAGCGTGTTTAAAACATAAACATGTTATTTTTGCAGTAGTTTAGTAACTATTTACCTTGTGTTCTCTGTTCACTCACTAATACCTCACAAACACTGTATATCCTGGTTTCCTTGTCTGTGAGGACTGCATTTTGTGAGTGTAGTTGGGGCTCCCTGTAAGGGTTTCCCCTCAGAATCTTTAGGGTGTGAGAGTAAAGTGCTGCACAGTTTGGGCTCTGTCTGTTGGGATTATGTCAGTACTGAGTTCTCAGGAGGTTGCTGTTCACTGGCTCTGTGTGGGATTGCTGTACTAAAACTGTCCTGTAGACACAGTGCATTCCTAGTGGGTGCAATTAAGGGTTGAAATGGAGTGCTGACTGTCTGTGCATCTTGGCTTTTCAGTTTGGCATTCAGCACCTTTACTTCTGCTGCTTTTCAGACACTTGATACTGCTGTAATTGGGGGCTTTTTTTGTTGGTTTTGTTGAGTTTTCAGTTTTAATTTCCCTTTACATATGAATGGGCCACTAATCTCAAGAAAATAAACTTACAAGAGCTCTTTCATATGATCTTATCAACCTCATCTTCCTTTCAGTAGAGTGCTGGCAAATCTACATTCAATAAATTTTGGCATCCTGAGAGCAAAAATATACATTTCATACTTTCCAGAAGTCCAAGGCAAGTTACTGTAACTGTTAGAAAAAAAACCAAAATCAAAACAAACCAGAAAAAAACACCAAAAGAGATTCAGTTTTAACATCACTTCCATCATCCACACTGGGTTAGTTGGGATGGAAGAGGGGTTATTCCCATGTTTCTTAACTTCAAAGGTACAACTGCACCTTCTGCAGTTGAAGGTTTGAGCTATCACTGCAAGTTAAAGTATTATTTCTAACAACAAACCACCAACTTAATACTTACCTGCTTGTGTTTACAAGAAATCAGGTAGTTTAGAGGGTTTCATCCTTTCAGAGGTCTTCTGCTGGAATATGGGTAACTGTAAATGTTGCTTAGGTTTTACTGAGACCCTAAAAACTTGCTACAGGGTAATAATGGAACTGCAACAACCTACAGAGGTTACATGTGCTGTTTTCCTCATTAAAATATGGCTCACATAAATGGATGCCAAATACAGCAGATGGATTTATTGCTAAATATCAAAACATGTTCCATGACACCATCTTTTAAAGATACATTTGAAAATGCATCTTGCAAACAGTAGGGATTATGCATCATTACCATTCCAAAGCAACCTATCCTTTGGATCAACACTATTAGCTGGATGATGTAAAGCTATTCACTTTATCAAGGTCACATTTGATAAGTACAGGCAGCACCAAGTAGCAAAGTTATTTTAATATAGCTATTTATGATTTTCTATCTACAGTTGCATCGTTATAAACTGTAGTTTCAAGGAGCTGTAAATTAGCCAGTGTAAGCTTTGCTTTAAAGGTTTATATACAAGACCTCAGCTAAGGAGCATCTTTTCTCCAAGCAGTTTGTTCAGAGGTGACTGTGGTGCCATAGAAGAAAAAATATGAAACCTTTCTGAGATTCCTGTTCACTGGTGGTTTATGACATGTGTGTTTTCTCAGTGTGGCTCTCATGCCCACATTAGCTGGGGTTCACCTGGAATACACTTGGAGCACTTTGAGATGTAAGAGTAGCAGAGATGTTGGTGTGATGGTTGTAAATCAGGTTCCCATTTCCCCTCTTCTTACAGAACAATTGGCATCTGAACACAAATGCAGGTGAGAGCATAACCATTTTGACAGCAATTACAAAGGGGAATTTGTTTAATGACGTGGTACAGGACAAAAAGGTTTGAATCCCAGCCAGTTATTTTGCTAATTGCAGTATTTCTAGTTAATGATTAGATATTCTGATTATAAACACTGTGCATTGGCTTGTGCAGGGTTGGTTTTGGTTGTTTTTATTCAATCACCAGAAGCTGAGTTTTTAAAATGGTATTTTGCAGTAATCCCTACAAGTGAACTGTAGTAAGAATTATTTTTCTGGAGTTCTGTGCCACAGTGGATCAGTGCATCAAGGCTGCATTGAAGGTGCTATTAAATACATTAATGAAAAAAACCAATCCAAACCAGACTATTTTAACATGTAGCTAATACTTCCATCACAAGATGGGACACAGTTGGGTGTCCCTTTGGGTTTACTGCAGGTGCTTCCACCTGGCTATGGAATGCAGAAGCTTATGGAAGTCTGCTATGGCAGCAGGATTTTTCTGTGTTTTTTTCTGTTGTGGTAGAGAATTTCAAGTTAAATAAGGGCAGTGTCATGGGGCCAAGTGCTGATTTGGTATTTTCAGTCGAATAGATGTGCTTCAGGATCCTTTGGAATATCCTGTGCAGATGAGTGACTGTCAGGGAGATGTATCCCCATGTGGGTCACTGAGCTGTGTGCACAAGGTCAACAGATGCCAAGTCACAGAATCATTAAGGTTGGAAAAGCTCTCTAAGATCACAGAGTTCACCCATTAACCCAGCACCAGTGTGCTACCGCTGATCCGTGTCCCCAAGTGTCACATCCACACCTCTTTTTGAATCAGTGATATTACTTCTATCCCTGGGAATCACCATTCATCCCTGGTGAGCCCTGGGCAGCTTGTTCCAGTGCCTGACCACCCTTTCAGTGAAGAAGTTTTTCTCAATATCTAACCTAAACCTCATCAGGCACAACTTGAGGCCATTTCCTGTTGTCCTGTCACTGCGGTCTCAGTAGGGAGCATCCCCAGCCTTTCCTTTGTGCACTAAGCAGGTCACCTGGGCAAATATAACACTGAGGCAACACAACAGTGCTTCCAAGTGCTTCCAACATGGTGATTCCTGCACGTGCCAGCATTTGTGAAGAGCTTTGGCTGTTCTCCCTCTGCACCCATCACATTTAGCATGCTGGCTGTCCCCACTGGATCAGTCACTCTGTGTTTTAGGGCCACATCAGCATTTCAGTGGCATTAGGCTTAGAATGAGGGTTAAAAACAATAATGCCACGTGCAATGTCTTGGTAGTAGAATGTACCTGTGATGGAATATTGCTGGTATGTTTATTAGTAAAATGTTATTTCATCTCTGGATGCACACACGTGTCAGAATAAGTAATGCAGGATATGTAAATAGAAAGTGTAACTTTCCAATGTGCTAAGGGGCAGAGTATCACACTGTGCAATGTGAACATTATAAGTGTCAAAGAAACAGAATCTAACTGTACATAACTGCTGCTTATATTTAAGAAAGCATGTTTTAAGTCAGAGTGAAGAAGTTCTTGTTTACAAGTGTTTCAATATGTTTAAAAAACGCGTGTTGCACAGAAACCCAACCCCTTACCATACTCCTGTTTGTTGTTTTCCTTTCCCCCATGTATCTTGTTTTCAGAACACTACCCTAGACTGTAAATTAACAGCAGCAGGAGATAAAAACTTTGACAAAAGCCCAACCAAAACAAGGCAGCCCCGGAAGGTGGATCTGCGGGCTCGGTACTGGGCATTTCTGTTTGACAACCTGCGCCGGGCGGTCGATGAGATCTACGTCACGTGTGAGTCGGACCAGAGCGTGGTGGAGTGCAAGGTAAGGCTGCAGCTGGGCTTTGGCTTCCTCACCTGGCTTCTTTCGGGCTTTTTTTATACTTTAAGTGAGGAATTAGAGCTTCAGAAACACGGTACTTTTTGATTTGTGTTTTCTGAAGGCTTGCAAGTAGGAAAACTGATGGTGTATGTATTCATATTTAAGAAATGCTCTCATATTGTGCAGTGACAATTTTTTAAAGTGTGTAAAACTTGTGATGCACGTGATATTATTAGATCTCAGTATTTTGGGGAAATCAGATTTTGTTTATCGAGTTCTGAGTTTGTTACTTTTCTGACTGAACACTGATTTATTTTTCCCTGTAGGAAAAATACTTTTAGTATTTTACTGTAGGTGGCAGTGTTGTGGTTCAGCCTTTTTCACATTTGTTTGCTTCCTGTTAAGTGGCTTAATTACACACTGCTCCCTTTCTGCAGTGATAGTTATCACTCTTCAGATTTTCTCTTTGTTCAGAAAACGATTGGTTGTTGAGTATAAGCAATGTCTGGTTGGGATGTCACTGTAAGTCACTTCCCAGTTTCAAATAACCTGTGTTTGTAGTAGCTTGTGCATCTGTTTTACATTTTATTATGATTTTCTAGTAGATCTGCAGAAATACCCTTGTCATTTAATAGAAATCACTCATTCTTTAGAAGTTGAATTTATCACAAGCATTAAGAGAAGCCAGAGTATGTTATAAAAAGAAATGTTCAAGATGTTGCTTTGTTTTCATATTAAACATGGCTGAAAACTCAACACATTCTGGAAATGATTATCTAATCACTGTAAAAAATTTTACATATCACTTTAAGTAAACTTTTTTCTTATCCCCTGCATCTCTTTCTCTGCTGCAATCAGACACGGCCAAATGGACTTTGGGATTAGCATACAAATACCCTTCATTGGAAGCAGGTTGGAAAGCTGAACAGTAGCTAAAGGCTTCCAAGGCACTGGTTGGTCTAACACAATTTACCAGTTTGTTACTGAACTGTCTTCCTGCTCAGGAAACTTCTCCTTAGAATTTTTTGGTTTAAGAAAATCAGCCAGCCTTGAGCCGTAATTAGATTAGCATTTTAAACTTCTGTGACTGAAGGAACAGAAGCGTATTTGTATCATTATCACATCTTTTTTGGGGTTAGATGTTGTTCAACATTTTAATCAGGGGACTGGATACTCTGGGATGGAGATGCTGCATAGCCTGAGTGAAAAGTCTTCATTTTAGCAGATGCCTGGCAATGATGTCTTATCTATGTAGGCCAGGTTACTTGTTTGCAAAACAAAGGTGGAAAAAAAACAAAAATGAGGACGCAGGGCAGTCCAGTGCCATCTGTTGTAAGACTTATGTGACATTCATGTTCCTCTTACCTTTTAAAAGATCTTTTTTCTCAGCACACAAGTGGCCTTACCTGAGCATCTGGAATATGTGTTTGTGCTGTGGTCTTTTATCTGTGGGATATTCTTTTCTAGGTTACTGTTAAATGATCATGATTATTCTTTTCATAAATTACTAATATTTCTCTTAATTAAGATATGTAGGATAAAACTGTTTAGTCTTGCAAATTATTATTACTAGTAATGTTTCATTTCTGTCAATTCTATTGACTGTCATTATTTTGTGGTGGTTTCGACAGATGCAGTTCAGTGTCTACCAGAGATGAGGCTGTCAATGTTTGTAGCTAATCTCCTACAGCAGGGTGTCTTAGCTTCTGTGTTTTGAAGGAAATGCTTTGCATAGCTCTTAATAGACATTTTAGGTACTGTGTACATGGGCTTCAACTAGGGGTTGATCAAACTCATCATTAGTGTGGAGATGTGTTTAATTATGGGTGGAATATCAGTGATAGCGAACAACAGATCCTTGTGCAAACTGAGTCTTCTTCACCTCTGATGCTGAAAAGCCAGTGCTTGCAGTCCTTCACCAGCTGAAATATCTTGTCTAAGTGCAGCTTTCATATTATGGAATATATAGGAGGTGTTTACTGTAGTACCTCAGGCTTTTAGGAGTTCATAAATCAAGTCTGAGAGTTCAGCTGGCAAATGGTATTGACTAAGAAGCACCTGTGTGACATTTTCTCAAGAATTCATGCAGCTTAATAGAGGGCCTGTGTCCTGTCTTAGAATTAGCTTAACTCAGTCTTTGGTTTCATCACTACAGTTTATCCCTGTGGGATTCAGTGCAGGTAAATAATCATCATTTGCGTGTCTAAAACACTGAGTTGTTTTACTGCCTTGGCTTTGGCAGCCCTCGAGACATTGGTACCATGTTACTCCCAAGGTTTCACACTTTGCATTGGCTGTTCTGATAGTTCCTGGTCAGGTCTTGGATGATCTCTGGTCGTGCCTTTTCTTGTGACTTGAAAACATTCAAGCAATGACCAGGATCTGCATTCCCTGTTTGTGTCAGCCAGGGTGTCCACTGGTGCAGGAGTGATGTGTGGGGTGAGGGCCTGCCTGTCATTCCAGGGACAGCTCCAGCCACTGGCTGTGCAGGACTGGGAGGGTGCAGGAGGATCCATCCCAGACTGGGAGGATGCAGGAGGATCCATCCCAGACTGGGAGGATGCAGGAGGATCCATCCCAGACTGGGAGGGTGCAGGAGGATCCATCCCAGACTGGGAGGATTCATGCCTCTGGCTGAGGTGTGTGGGAATAATGGCATAATGTGAATTCTGTGTGCTCTGATGAGGTGTCTCCCTGACTCTGCTGAATGATGTGGATGTGGCTTGGCAAAATATATTGCACTTCACTGACAGGAAAGGAATGTCTGTAGTGAGTATTATCCTTTTGTTTTGGACTTAGGGGGCCAGGTGTGATGCAGTCATACAGTGTGTCTTGTCTGCCCTTGCATAGCCATGATTTCCCTGCAATAACTTTTAATATCAGTGGACCAATTTAAGTTAATTTAGTCATTATAGATTTTATGAGAGTGGGTGACTAGCTTGGAAGAAGATGTCCTGCTAAGGTTCACAGTGCAGGAAAAACTGCCCCTCACTCTTTCTTAGGCACCAGGGAATTCAGAGAGGGAACAAGAGGACAGGAACACACCAGCTGAGGGAATAGGGATTGTGTGTGAGGTGGGTTTTTGTTTCATTGGTTTTGGTTTTTCATAAGAATATGTTGATGTGCATGTCGTGATGTCACTTCTGGCACCAGAGAAATCAGAAAGAAGAACATGGAAAACAGGCTCCACACCACCTACAGTTTGCAGAACTACTTTGACTTTTTCTGCCTGATGGTTTGTTGTGGGTTTTTTGTTTGTTGGGTTGAGGTTCTTTAAATTATTTCTGGGAGTTAATTCTTATACTTGTTCCATTTTTATGTATGACAGTACTGGTCTTCTGAATATTTTGATTTTAAGATGAAAATTCCTTTTGTAGCAAACTTTTACTAAAGCTCATCCTGAAAATGGGGTTGGATTAGCTCCACTTTTCTGTTCTTTTTTGCAAACTTTTTATACTACATAGAAAAGTATCCAGTGGTTAAAATGTTACAGGAGATGCTAACAGACCTGTCAGCTCAGTTACAAATGGATTAATGCACTTCTGCTATACCTAAAGGGTTGAGAGGATTTTTTGATTAATGAGAAATTTCACATTGCCACATTTAATTTTTGGGCTCATTTGACAAAGTATCCTGTTAGCCCTTTTCATGAAGTACCATTTTTATTCTTACTACTGGACATAGGTGGGAAATAATATTAAATAAGAAACCAAAATGGTTACACTGTTAACCTCTCCTTCATTTGTTTTTTTTTTTAAGTGGGATTTTGAAAAATTCTTTCAATTAAAATAAATTCATGTTATCAAAAAATTCCTTCATTTTGACTTTTTAAATGATGTCTCCTCAAACTTCTGTCCTGGTCACACGGGCATGTGCTGTTCTATTTAAACATTTTAGTCGTATAAAGATTGTCTTAAAAGATGAAATATGACAACTTCTGGCATTTCAAATATTCAGATTAACCTGGTATAAAAGTGTTAGTTACATTTTTTGGTTATTTTGTACCCTCTGCTCTCCTGTACCCTTACAAGTTGGTATAGTTTCATTGATTATGTTGCCACTGAGGATAACAGTTTGATGCTCCCAAATGGGAAAGGGCTCCAGTGGCTGTTTGTGGTTGAAACTGCAGAAGGAGGGTTGTGGGGAGGATCCAAACAGTGGGAATGTGTGTAAGAGGATCACTGGCTGTGTGTGTTTTCTCTCAGCTTTGGGCACTGCTGAAGTTGGTATTTTCCTATTGATTTGGAATTGAGAACTCTTAAATCATGTATATAGATATATAGACATGGCTTGGATGCTTTGCATATAAAGATAAAATGAACATGGTTGAATTATTTCTGAAATAAATAAAGAGTTCTGAAGTTTAAGCATCATCTTACTGTACATAAATCAGTTTGTGCAATAGTGATAGAAGATTAGATATATCCTAGTAGATTTGGCTATAACTTTTTTTCCTTCTAGGATGAAATAACAGCTTCAGCTGTTTTTTTCCTTTCAAAAAAGCTGAATTTTATTACGTAAAAATCTAAATCTCTATTCCTTTTAAGTTGTTGTTTAGCACTACTCAAAGCTTGTACAGTCTTTTGTCTTTTCACCTTTACTTACTGGTGTATTTCTGTAAGGTTTTGGCCAGGGTTGATTCTCTCCTTGTTTCTAAAGCTCATGGATGCACTCTTAGATCAGCCTAATTCAGTGGAAACAGTTCAATTTTACTTGAGATCTTATTCCCACTTATGAAATGGAAAATTCAGCAGGGAAGTTCTGTTGTTTTGCTTCTCATAGGCAGCACAGGGTACCCTAAAGAGCCTGGGGAAGCCTTTCCCTTAGAGGATTTGACACATTGCACAATGTTACGGGAAAGAACCAACTGAATCAGCTCTCGTGAGGGCCTTTCAATCAGGGGGATGTCTGTGAGTGAGAGCCAGTTGATTGAGGCCTCCCAGAAGCTGAGGAGCCTCTTTGAGGACTGTTTTTGGCTCTGGGTGTGTAAATTCTCCTGGTTTATCTGTGCACACAGACTGGGGCCTGGGCTCGTCCCCGATCGATCGCTGGCTTTCGGGACAGCCCCTTCTGCCCCTGGGGTGTGTCAGGAGTGTGCAAGGCTGCCCCTTCCCATCAGAAAAACCACACCTTCGAGTTCTGCACTTGGACATAATTACCAAGGGGGTGTTTATATCTTCATAAATAAATACCCTGTGGCTGTCTCGTGGCAGTCCATGCGCTGTGCAGATCTCTTTGTGAGCGTTCCTGCCTCTCTTTGGACATTTACTTGTTCATCATTGTCATCTTCCACAGAGGAGTCAACAGAGAAGGAAAGGAAAAGGGCAGTGAGTCTCTCACATGAAAAGGGATGAGATCCTTCGAAATGGTCATCTGTCCTGAAAAGCCAGATACTGAAAAGCTGGCATGGCTTTCAGTTGGCAGCCTGGGTATCCCTATTCCTGCCCCTCCATCCTTTGCATCTGACATATATATATATGCACACATATATATACATACATATATACACACACACTCTTCAATTCTATGTGATTAAGTCCATGCACATGTTGCTGCCCTAATTCTTAGGGAGATTTTCTTTGGTAATGTGCTCCTCCAGAGCACATCCTTGGCAGAGAGTGGATTGAGGCTGCTGTGTTGGAGGTGAATCAGTGGGGAGCAACTGAGGTGCATTTAACACATGGATCTAAGAGACCATGTGCTTTTTTAAAATGTTATTTACCCTCTACTGAAGTTGATATAATGAGAGTCCTTTGGCTGGAGGAGCTGCTTCCTCTCATCCTTTCCCAAAGCTGTAAGAACTGCTTTGGCAATCATGTTTGTTGAACCTAACCCCAGAGCTGGCTTTAATTATCTGTAATTCAACTGTAGGAAAAGGCTACAAGGAATTTTTTAAAGCAATTTTTGTGTCAAATTACTGAAACACCCAGTTAACCTTGAAAATTTAAAGAAAGAAGGAAGGGATAAACTTAGTTTGTGTGCTAAAAACATACTGCATTACGAAAATCCGGAGTTTATTTTGGTAAATACATAATCTAAAATATTAGGTATAGATAAGGAAACAGTATAAAGCAGTCACAGTTTGTAGAATAGAACAGACATTTTTAGCTTTGAGAATAAGCTAAAGTATAGCTGTGATGACTGAGTTAATTTATCTGATGCACATGGTGCTGTTTTGGGTTGTAGCACCTTTAAAATCCCAGTCTTCCATATCATCCCTGCTTCCTCCTCCTTGTTTGAGAGTGGGTGAATAAATGGAGAAGACAACATTTCAGAGCTGTTAAGGCATTTCCAAACAAAGTGAACGTTGGTTTTGAAGGATTGTAGTGGGCCTATCTAGGACTCAAGTCCTGACTGAGCAATACAGCATTATTCTGATGGAGCTGCTCTTAAAGATCTGCATTGATTACAAAGTAAGTTGTATGATCACCCAGCTGAGGAGACTAGAAATACAACTTTTAAATAAATACATAGAAACCAAAGTAATGACTGAGAGCTGGAGAAAAGAAGCAGAAACACAAAAAGGGCTTTTTGACATGCAGAACTATTGATCAGAGAATTGACCAGAACAGGGAGGAGAAGGAAACAGAAGCGTGACTGATTTTAGTTTTATGCCACTGATTTTCCTTAAAGTGTTGTTTTCTAGCAGTGTTGCTTTCTTATTTAGTTTGAACTGTCTCTTTAAAAATTGGACGGGACGGATATGACCTTGAAAAATAACGAGCTTTAAAATTGTTCTGACTGCGGTGCAGCCACAGTCTAGCCCATAAAGGTCCCTTTTTGTCAGCACCTTCTCAAGTGGTGCAGGTTTCCCCTGGTTCAGCAGCGCGGGGTGGATGTGCTGCCCTGGGTGCCGGGGGGAGCGCAGGGCTGTATCGATGGCCCGGGGGGAGCGCAGGGCTGTATCGATGGCCCGGGGGGAGCGCAGGGCTGTATCGATGGCCCGGAGCCCCGGGCCCGGCGGGCCGGGATTGTGTGTCAGGAGGACAAAGGGACGGCGCCGCCCGGCCGCCGACCAGGGTGAATTACAAACCAATCGAAGCCGTCGCAGCCAATTGGTAAACTAATTGGTAATTTTAGCTGTACATCTATATGTAGTTATCTGCAGGCCTGGAACGGCGCTTTCAGAGCCACTTTTGTTCTGCTTCATCCTGCCTGACAAAATGGCCCTCATGGCTTTAGGGAGAAAGATGTGCATCAGTGGCTATGGGGCCGCTCCAGCTGCTTGTCTTGTTTGTATTCCCTTGTTCATAAAACATGGCTCGGGTTACAGCTGCATGGGGCTGCTCTGATCATTTCTGATAATGTGCAGCTAAACATTCCTTAAAATAGGTTAAGCCATTTATTGCATTTTTTTTTCCTGTGCCAGCTAACATCTGAAATACAACTCATACTCATATGAATTCTCTTTTTTTTTTTTTTTGGTGAGGAATATCTCAGTGGCAGACTTGAAAAGTAAATGATTCAGAATTAAATTTTGCTTTCTATGCTCTTATTGTTAGTAACAGTCAGTGCAACTTAGTATGGGCTGACCTAAATGGACATGAATTGGATTAGAAAGCTGAAATTTTATTAGTGAAACTGAAAAAAGAGCTGGCTAAAACACTTGACTCGTTCATTTCTAGTAGCAGGCCTTACTTAAGAATTATTTTGGTGCTGTAAACCAACTCCATTGTAAGAAAAATTTCTCTTAGCTTTTTTGGGGAATATTTCAAAGCAAAGAGCAACTTTGACATCAGCAATGGGATTCTCTTTGGTTTCCCTGGTGCCTGACTCTCTGGTGACTTTACCCTTGCAACAACCAGCACCTCCATGTGTCATACACATGGGTTAAAAGGGTACCTGTGTGAAAACCAAAGCTGAGCTTCAAAGTTAGGGTTAAACAAAAATCATATTAATCCATATGATTTTATATGAAAAGGCACTTGGCATGCATTAGAGGTCCTTTTTCTGTTAAAAGGACAACTAAAAGTAAAGATGAATGGCATGTGACATTACAAAAATGTGCATTAGTTACCTGGACTGTAGGGGAGTTTTTACTGTTTTCAGGGTCAAAAGTTTTACTGTTAAGAACCAATACCTCTTCATTTGTAATTCTTCCCAAAATATTTTTAAATAATTATTATTTGCTTTGAGGGAAAAGTTTCTCTTAACACCAGCAGGAATGATTTTGACATAGTAAAGAATTTGTCAAACAGCAACACTTGGTCATTCTACCATAAAATTATGTCTGTGCTTCACATTCTGCACGTGAAGCTCATGCAAGTTTCATAGAATTCAATCTTTAGTCGTGGATTTTTATTATTTTCAGCATGCTGTCATCACAGAGTACAGGATCCATTTGTCTTGTCCTGGAAGGAGTAGGAATGCTGCTCTTTCTGATTGACAGGAGCTCAAACTCTCTCTCTCAGGCATTCATGTGTGGTGATAATCAGCTCTGCTGAGGAGGTGCCTGATGTCTGTGTGTGTTTTATCCCATTCAATCAATGATTTTTGAGCTTATATGTGGAATACAAGTGTTCTCCCAGGTTCCTGCATGGTAAAGGATTGCTCCTTTCCTTACCAGTGGCAGTGGATAGCTGTAGTTTGCTCAGGGAACAAAACTAAGAGTTCAATCATACTGTGTTTTGCTCTGCTTTGCCGTGAAGAAATGGTGCTGTTGGCTGAGTAAAGGCAGCAGGACCCCAACTTACCTTGGAATTTTTCCTTGTTTCTTGTATGTCATCTGACCTTACTATAAATACTGCACTCACATTCGAGCAAACTGGAAATCAGTCAATAATTTCTCCAAATTAAGGGTATTTTTATCAGAAACAAGTCTTTTAGTTCCCTACTGTTCAGCCACTGGCATTTTATTTCTGAATTTCTTCCTGGTTTAGTGTGAAGTGCAGTTAATTTGATGTGTTTTCTTGTAACAGTTAATTTTATTTGTTAGAGACCAACATGAAGTTCTAGATTCAAACTACTTAATCAAGATTTTGCAATATTTTGAATAAATTTCCAGCACACCCACATTATTCCTGACAGCATATGTTTAATCCTACCCAGGATCTGATGGAGTTACCTTTGTGTGGTTTTGTAAAATTTACTTCACAAACAGATTAATTGTGACATTTTTAGTCTTCCACAGGTCTGTCAAGTTTTACAGACAGTTTTCCCTCTTTGATGATGTATGTTCAGCATATTTTAAAAGATAGCTCTTACCAAAAAAAGAGAATAAATCATGAAACAGTGATATTTATGTGTGCTAGGAATTATTTCCTTGCCAGATATTGCCATTTTGTCCTTACACATTGTTGCTCACAGAGATCTTAGAAAATCCACACCTTTTCTTTTTAGGATGTCTTAATGTTTGTTCATATAAAAATCTTAACTCTCTGGCTTTTCTTTGGCTTATTTTTAATGAGAAAGCTACAGAGTAGTAAATTTCCTACTTTCTTTTCGGTTCCTTTATTTTCAATACAAAGATTGATGTAATGGTTGCTTTTCAGGAAGTCCTGATGATGCTTGATAACTATGTAAGGGACTTCAAAGCATTGATTGACTGGATACAGCTACAGGAGAAGCTAGAAAAAGCTGATGCTCAGAGCAGGTAATTAGATTTATATATTTTTTAATCTTTACAGGGAGTAAAGTTCACAGTAAATTTCATTTTGTAGCAGAGATTCAGCAAATAGAACCAATTTTCCTTTTGGACAAATTGGTGTGAGGACATTTTATGTGCACTGTCACTGTCACTAGAACTGGAGGATATTTCCAGTCCTACCCCGATCCTTTCCTTTTAAGTGCTTGGTTTGATGTTTAGTTCCACACTGACATTTGAAATAAGCATTGTAGTCTTGAGAGTTTGCATTATTTTTGATGTAACTCTGGCTAATGTGGGTTGGAGTTGGTGTAGAAGCAGTTGCTAAGACGAGATGAATGATTAAATTCACCAGGATTTGTTAACACTTCATGGTGTTTGTTGGTGCTGGTTTTGCTTTGAGGTGACAGAGGAATAGTTACTGTGATTTGTATTTTTAAACTCTTCTTTCCTGGATTTGCAGACCTACCTCACTAGCCTGGGAAGTGAAGAAAATGTCTCCAGGACGCCACGTGATCCCAAGTCCATCCACAGATAGAATCAGTGTGACATCAAACGCTCGGAGAAGTTTAAATTTTGGGTATGAAACTACCTACTCAGTTTATTGAAGCTAAAATAAAGATTCATTGGAAGCAGAGTTCATGAAGGCAGTATTTTTCTATAGTAACCAATATATTGTTTTACTGTTTATTAAATCATGTAAGCAATTATATGCATTCGTAAAAGAAAAGCCTTCTATCAAGGTCTTAATTTTTTTCCTTATTTTGTTATATATTTAATTACTGGTCATTCCAAAGAGCTAAAGATAAAATACTATTAGTGTATTTCATGTTATCATTTTAGTACTCTCCTCCCTCTACAAAACAAAGGTCAAATGCCTGTAACTGGCATTTTAAAATTGCCAGTGATGCAATGTGAATGGCCAGCTGAGTGTGCAGAAGTAAATATAGGTCAGAAAGAGTGAGTGTAAAGTGAGATTATGATGATTCTGATTAATGGCAAAACTGATACTATTTAAAATGTAGAGCAGGTTATGTACTGCAGGAAAACATCTTTCACTTGTTAAAATGAAAGTGTCTGAAAGCAGTTCAACAAAAATGGGCATAAATTTAGAGCAGCCCTGTCTGGTACTGTCTCAGTGTGTCCAGTTTAAATCTTTCTTAGGGTGTGTGTTTTAGTTCCTTCAGGTTTGTTGGGATCTAGGGCACACACTGTTCCTGTTCCATAACTGAGTAGTGTCTTCAGCAGAGATGTAACGCTGAACAGTTTGGTCAGTACCTCTGAGTACTGAGCTCTCTTAAATTTTACATATCAAATATTTCTACAGAAATGCTACAAAATGTGTTTGGTGGAAAAATGGGACCAGTGGTGTTAGTCCCTGTGTATGTCTTGATACCTCCCTGACAATATCTGAGAGGTGTCTGCTTGAGTGAGGGGTGATGGGGAGAAAATATGCACAAATAGTCAAATGAAAGATTGGAATCTGCTGGAAATCAATGTTTTTTTATTTTTATTAGAACACAACAGCTCAGCATAATGCTGTCTTTCACCTAAGCCCTTTTTCTGATGCCATTACACGTTACTGTTGTTGCTGGAACAGTTTTATTCACCATCCCAGGGAGGTGATGAGCAACTGTGTGTGTTAGAGCAGCAATGAATAAGATGAGTTTTCTATTCTTCACACTTGCAAACTTTTTCTTCTGTCTTAGTCTGCTTGTGTGTCTCAAAGCCAGGCAGCCTCAGACAACTACAATATTTTGTGTGCGTGTGTGAGAAAACAGGATAGAAAATAAAGGCTTAGATATACTTGGTACTATAGAAATTTTTGGCAGAATGTTAGAAATTATTAGGAAAGGAATGGGGGACAGAAGAGAAGGTGGTGGTGTACCACTGTAGAAACTCATAGTGAATGACTCTTACTGTGATTACCTTTATCTCTTCCCAAAAGCAGTGTAGGAAAAGTACAGAAACTGGAAACAGGAACAATCAGAAGTATCCAACAGTATTGAATGCAAAAAGAATTTGGAGAAGAGATAACAAGAAGGGTATGATAAATAAAGTCACTTACACAGAAGATGAGTAGGAAAATTTTATTTATTATTTCTCATGAAAAGGAATTAGGAATGTTAAATGCTCAAACACCAAGGTTAAAATGACAGGAATGTTTTTCAAGACTTAGTATGTAGAATTCATTGTGATGCAATGCTTTGGTTACCAAAACCATGAATTCCTTCAGAAATCGGTATCACAAAGATTAAATTTCATCTTGGTTATTAAAAACAGAGATTTGTTGAGTGAATTACAACAGCTTTTCAGTGCAAATTGCTGCAACCTGGGTAGTTTTCCAAAGGAGAGGTGGTTCTGTACAGCACCACTGTGCTGGTCTCTGACAGACTCTGGTGAAGTTTTCTAACAAACCATTCTGTTGTTTGATCAGGCACTAAAAAGAGCTGTGACTTTCATTTAGGAACCCTGCAGTGCCCATCTCTGCTACACGCCTGGCTCCTGCTGCTGTAAGTTGGGCTGATAAGGTAAAAGCCAACCATGGAGCTAAAGCTGCCCATCCTGAGCTGGCAACAGCACAAGCCTGTCTGGCACCTCCGGCACAGAAGCCACTGCGGAAAAATGGCAAGTCCCTTTCAGTGCCTTCAGTTCTTTTTGCACAAACTGTGTGGTAAAAAGTTCATTCAGAATGTGATGACCTATGTTCTAAGCAAAATTAGATCTAATTTTGCAACGTACGACATTTAAATTGAGTATGGAGATAAAAAATTAATGCCACTTTACGTTGTAACTGTTAAGTTTGAGCCAAAAGTATGTTTTCTTGTGTAGGTAACGTTCCACTGTATTGTCAGTAACTAGAATTTGATCTGTTAAAATGCCAGTTTATAACAGCCAGGAAAACAAAAGAATTTTGGTTACAAACTGGCAGTCTAACTGACTGCAATTTGGGGTGGTTTAACAATATAAAGAATATTGCACGTCCAGGGATCTGTATAGAGCTCAAGATAGTTTTGTGTGCCCTGGGAGAACACGTTATTAGAACTGTGCTGAAGTAACAGTTGTGTTTTTTCCTTTGAAGACAAGAGTTGCCACCTCTAGTTTTGAATTGTTTCTCTAAAGATTCTCCTTGGAGAATGTTTGATTCGGGGTCTTTTGTTCTAGAAGGGATTTGTTTAGTTACAGACACAGAAAGCTGCCATTTGGTTTCTTTGCACCCACACTGGATCCCCGAGATTGTCTTCAGAGATGCATTTTTAATTTATTTTTTTCATGTGTGGTCCCAGATGACTTTCTGCAAAACCAACAAGCAGGATGTAGAAATGGATATTCTGAAAGAAAATAAAAAGAAACCATTTTTTTATTTTTTAAAGAAAAATTACGGGACGAGGATGTGTTAATTTAAGATAGTTGTACGTTCAACTTAGTGGTAGGAGGAGTCATGGATAGTGACTTGCAGACTTGTGGCATATTATAGAACTAAAATATCTTGTCCAGGTGTCTTGCAGTGTAACCTGAGTGAGTTCAGTAGCCTGTGGATTCCTGTGCTGGAGCAGAACTGTCCAAACCGTGCTCCCAAGGTGGTTTGGATGGGGATTGAGGGATGCTGTTTGTGTGAGGGAATAGTTTGCTCTCTACAGTTGCCCTGAGCTGGTTAGAGAGCAGGAGCTGTTTGGCTGAGTTTTCAACACAATAATTGATGTGCAATTCCACTTTTAGTATGTGTCAGTAGTTGAAGCTCTTCATAACAAAACCTTTCTCTGGTGATTATTGCTCACATTAAAGCAACAGGCTCCAAGCTGTTTATCAGGGATTCTTGTGCATATGGAGAATGTTATTAGCTACAGAGGGAAAGTGATCTGTATTTCCATCTGGATAATGTATTTTTAAGAGACTAAAAGGAAAACAAAAGACCTTATCCTTATGTTAGCTTTAGAGGGATGAAGAGTCAGTCTTGTGCTGTCTTTTATTGGCTGTTACCTGCTGCTAATGAGCTCCAAAAAGAGTGAAACCACTTAGGCCCAAAAAGAGTGAAACCACCTACAAGGGTTCAGTAATCTTCAAATCAAATGTACTAATAAATTCAAACTTGAAACTTTCATTTGAAGAAATAGCAGTTGTTCCTGCTAAAGACTTTGTGTATTCTTAAGAATCTCTGATTGCTGACATTGAACACTGGAGAATTTCAGTGATTTTCCTGTGGCTGAACTGTAATGTTTTTGACTAATCAAGTTCTCTGTAGGAGCATGTAATCCTCCATGTGGAAGCTAGAACCACTCTGGTAAAATCCAGTTATCCTCACTGAGTGGAGCACAAGAAAATCTGGGAAGCTGACCCAAAGGGAGCCCCCGAGGCTCCTCACACGCATTACTGAAGCAGCTGGGAGGCTCCTGTGTCATCTGCTCTGCCCCTTCCCCAGCTAATGCACTCCCAGCTGTTGGGGACATGTGGGCCTTGGGGGAAGGAGGATCCCCCCTGCCCCCTGTAATGCTCTCTTGCCCACCAAAAGCCCATCTGGGGCTTACAGCTTTTTGCAGGATTTCCCTGAAACACTTTTTCTCCAGTGATTTCCAACAGCATTATCATTAGGTCTCACAATGGTTTTTTGATGTGGATGAGTGGTATGATGCTGTATCTGTTTCATGGTTGATGCAATTTCCAAATTTAACTAAATAAGTCCTTAGGGAGAGAGAAAATGCATTATTTTTCCAGATAGTCCTTTAATCTTTCCTTTTCTGGATGCATAATTAAATGAGGTTAAATCATCTTATCTCATTTCCCTCATTAAACTTACTATTACCCTCAATATGTTAATGAATTAAAAAAAAATTGTATTTAATGCTTGAGTATTTTGTGCAATGTGAAACACAGTCTATTCTTCCTGTCTGACCAGTTTCTGGTCATGGGTTCCCTGGTGCCCTGCTGAGACAGGTTATACAAATTCAGACTGTGTATTAAAAATGGAAGTAGGTGCTTACAATAGAACTTAGGAGAAAGGGTAATCCAGAACATGTGAACTTCTCAGAAATATTGAATGTTCTTTTCTGTTGCCACACTTGAAATCTAGTTGTTGTTTGGGCTCAGCTGTGCCCACCTGATCCTGTGGAAGCACCTGTGACTTCTGCACATTGAGGGCAAATTGCAGGAATGTCAGCACAGACAACAAGGGACAGTGTATTCCTGACTGGGTTGTCAAATTCTTAAGCACAATTTCTGTTGAAAATTTTAAGTTCAATCTTTTTTTATATTCCTTCCTCCCCTTCTGTTATTAAGTGATCATAAAAACTAGTCTGACAGTTAACTTCTCTAATTAAAATCTTGGCTGTTAACACACCATCTCTTGTTATGACAGGTAAGTTTACCGTTGCTTACACCACTAAATTTCCTCTTTTCTAAAAAAACTTATTTTATTCTTTTGATTTTCATGTCTTCTGCCCTGTAACTGTGTTTTGTCTGAGTTCATATTTCTAGATTTGCTTCCATATTCTCAGGTAATAGTGGTTTCCAAAGTGCCTCTCAAATAACAGTCATACTATTTTAGATTTCAAAAAAATTGGGGCTGAAATTTAGTAATGACTGGGGAAGGTCAGATAGGTTTTGGTAGGATATGACTTGCAAGTAAATTTTACAATGGCCATACATGTGCTGAGGCAGAACTCCCAGGAGTTTGCACATAGCTGCCTGGATTTCAGTTCCTAATGTTTCCAGGGAGGCTCCTTGGGCAGTTCTTCCAGATGGAGCAGCTCCCAGCGAGCAGGGCCCTGGTGGCTCTGAGGGCCTCAAGGTAACAGATGGCTTTGTCACTTCATGTAACACAAGAGCAGGCAGGGACAGGGAAGTTCACATGAAACTAGAGAATGATCCAGGTAGTCAAATGAATTATTCATTAACAGAACTCTGGCAGTAATCAAATCCAGCATGTGATACTTAGCCTGTGGAGATGGCTACTGGGCTATAAGAATTCCAGACTTAGGGAAAAAACGTGGAGGAAGGTTGGTGCCCTACTGACTTTTAACTTTGCTTCAGATTAGATGTGATCTAATGTCAGTGAATGTATTTATTTGTAAATGTTTTTGCAAACTCTTTGTTAAAAGCGTGTCTGGAAGTGACTGAATACCAAACTGATGGGTGAATTAAAAGGAACAAGTAACTTCTTGTGCACAGCTAATTGTCAGATGGCATCACACTGTTAAACTGATTCCAGGTAGTTCAGGAGTCTGAATACATGTTTGCATTAAAAACTGCTTTGTATTTAAAGAATTCACCAAACAATATTCTTTCAAACACAAGTATTTCTGGGCTGTTAAAATGCTTGGTTGAGTCTTGAGTAATAATTATGGATCTGACAGGGAACAAATGGAAATTAAAAATTGAACATGTATGGCTTTTACAGAAAGAGTCATTCCTACTTTAGTAAGTGTGATTATGGCTTTGCTATGCTCTGACTAATTTTATTCTGATTAATTCTGTCATTTTAGACTACTAAGAAATATGCCATGAGACAAAGAATCAACTAGGCAAGACAGGCAAGAATATTCTTTTTTGGTAGAATTAACTTCAATAGATATTAGTAAAAGATAATAGAAGATATTAGTACAATTATTAAGAGATACGTAGGATTAATATATCTTATTTATATGTTAATAAAATTATCTTTAGCTAGTAGTTACTACAAAAGAGTATCTTCTGATATTTTTAATGCAGAAAAGATGCCTTTAGGTAAGAGCTGACTCCAGTTTTCAGAACAAGTAGAAGTGAGGTGTTTAGTTTTGCAAATGGCAAGGAAAAGGAATTGCAACCCACCAGTTGCTGCAGCAAAGCAGTGGCGGTTTGTTGGTTGATTATAGCAGTTCTGAACAATCTCTTTGTTGTCTCTGTATTACTTGCCAGGGAAATTTCTTGGCCAAGTTTTATCCTAAGCTTTGTACAGCAGAGCCTTTGTGGTCCTGGCAGTTCCTGAGGTCGGTGGGGTGGGAGCTGTGGTACCCAAGGGGCCCGAGCAGGCCTCGTCCCATGGAGTGGGACACATTTGGCACAGACTGTGTGCCGTGAGCTTTCTGCAGTAAATCTGGTTGGGATTGTTCTGGAATTAAGCCCCTGTTCCCTGGAATATTGCTGGAGATAAGATTGTCTCTGAGAGGACAATAACATGCTTCCATCACTAGGTCCTGTAGATAATTATATTTTGTCTATATGAAGATGAAGAAATGAAAATAAAGCCAAAGTCTCTTACAGGGGTCAAATGGAAAGCAAAAAATACAGTTGGTATTTTTCTGACTTCCATTCCCTTCTGCAGTCAGTGGGGCACACTGAAATGTGTGCAAGTGCACATAGGGAAGGAGAGCAGAAAGGCTCTTTGCAGACCTGTCCTGTCTCTAGTTACCAGCAGGAATCTGAAGAGATTAGCCAGGTGATTCACACAGAGTTTGGGAATTTGGTTTAAAACACACAGCCGTTTTTCTAGAGTAAAAGTTTCAATAGTAAAACATTGAATTGAATTCTCTTTTTGCATCTGTCATTACCAGTATTGTTTATGTTTGTGAACAGTTATATAGTTACATAAAAACAGCTGTTACATGAGCTGCAGCAAAGATAATTTTCAGAACAGTGCTGTTAACCTCCCTGGTAACTCAGGATTTACACCAGCCTGTGGGCCAGGCTGCTGTGTTTTATCCTGAGACACTGAAAGAGCCCAGTATTTAAATGAGCACTTAATGTGTGTAAAATGCTCGGTGCAAAGGCAGCAAAGGATGAAAGTGCCCTTAGTTGTGGTTTAGACTCATTTCTGGTTTGCTGGTTACTAAAGATTGTTTAGACCAGTTCATATGTTAAACCTTAATATTTGAGCTCAAGCTCTAATCTTTATGCCTGAGCTGCATGATCATCTTTGTTAGTAAAAACTTTAGAAAAACCCAGAGAATGATTTTTTTATACAAGTTGTATTCTAGATTATTTCTCTCTCTAAAACAGGCCATTTAATGTTGGTTTTTTTGCTTCTCTGCTCCTCCGGGTAAAAGTATTCTCCCACACCATTCTGTTCCTTTTATGTGAATGGTCCTAAAACCAGCTTATGCTAAAATTATATTGGACAATATCATAAAAGTTAGTTACAAGTTAGTTCTTGAGTTTTTTGCAGGAATTTTTGTTTAGCAAATAAGACAGGTGTGAGCTTACCTGTCACAGTCGTGAGTTGTACCGTCAGGCCTCAAAGAATCACTCACAGTTGTTTCAAGACACATGGGGAATTATGTGCTGCTATTAATTGCTGGCCACAAAAATGTTACATATTTAGGAGGGGGTTCACCTTGATACTCTGCAAATCTGGTCACACTTAAGACTTGATGCTTTAGGCAGACAAATTTAACTTTTCAGGTATGTACCAAGATTAGATATCATAAATGTTGATCAGCAAGTTTTATGTAACAACCACATAGAAATCAAAGTAAATTGGGGAAAACCTGCTTTTCTATTTTCTCTTTCAGTTTGCAGTCCCACTGTAGCAATGTTTTGCTCTTTCCTGGAATCCAGGAAAAGAAATTTTCCGAGAGCTGACACTGATTAGTGTATTTTTGTTATCAGAGTAGAGCAAATGGGGGGAAAAAAAAGTAAAGAAAATACTCTGGAAGAATAGTAAACCACATTTGTGGGCAGTGCTTTCCACACTAAGTCGTGCAGTTATGTCTGTATGTGCACTTTGTTGTTACAAAGAAAAGCGAGAGTGTGGTTGCTTTGTTGTTCTTTACTGTCTCATGAAACGGCAACATGGGCATGGAAAACTTTAGTACATGTTGCCATTTTCCACACAGTTTTGTCCATGAGCAACTTCCCTTTTTGCAGTGACAGAACAGGTCCCATGAATAGAGTTGTTCAGTGTCTGTGAAAGCAATAGCGCTCCTTGAAGCGAAAAGCTGTGCTAAAGAATATTTCATCGATTTGTTTGGTATTGATTTCTAAAGAGAACATTTTTCTCGCACAACTCCTGTAATACTGTAATAAAATAGTTGTTTCTAATGCTTCTATTTATATAAGTCCTCCTTTCTGAGCCCGGGGTGTGTTTTTTGCTGTAGATCGAAGGGATGCCGAGGGCTGGGAGACGGTTCAGCGCGGAAGGCCCGTTCGATCCCGCTCCACAGCTTTGGCAACAAAACCTCCCGGGGCTGCAGAATCCCTCAAGTCCAGAGGTGACAGTGACAAAGAAAATGCCGTTTCTCCACCAGCAGAAAACAAGCCCGGGAGTTCAGTCACGGAGAGTGGAGCATCCAAAAGCACAGAGCCGGGACAGCAGGAGCCTTTACAGCAGCCTGAAGGTCCTCTGACTGAAAGGACTCAGGTCAGTACATCATTTTAAACAATTTTCTAACCTTAAATCTTACAACTTCTTCTGCAGAACTTTTTCTGAAGGTGGTGTTGTCTAGAGCTTTTATGCACTGACCAGATTGGAAAAGGATTTAAGAAGTAATGGCTAGTTCAAGTTACATTTATGGAAATGCATTAAAATGTCGGCACAAATAGGGTAATTAAAATTATGTGGACAGCTTTTCCATCGTTTCCAAAAAGTCAGGGCCAGGCACATCTCATACATAGATTTCAGGTAAAAAGATCCAAGTTTGGCAAGGTTATGAGCCCCTGAAATAAGTGGTTTGCATCACTCACTGTAAAGTTACTATGTATTTTCTTTAAATCTGTTTGACTCTAAGTGACTTTAAAAATCAGTGTGTTAATTTGGCAAATGCCTCTTGTTAGTTCCCAGCAGGTGCCTCAGAAACCAACAGGAGCACTGGGACACCACTGCAAGGAGATTCCTCACAAGCAGCTCCTGAGATGCCTCCAGCTCTCCCCAACACTGACTGTGCTTCCAGAGCTCTGCAGCTGAACGAAGCCTCCTCCCAGAGCACTGATCCTGTGCACTGGCATCAAACAGAAAAAGCTAAAACTGAAGCTGAAATGGATGCCTCAGATATTTCAAATGTGAGTGCTGCCAGATTGGTAAGAAATCTTGTAAGATCTCCAAGTGAATAATAAATATAAGCCTTAATTTTCTCACTCTGTGTTGCACAGTGTGTTTTTTTAACCCGCTGTAAAAATTACAGCAAAATCTATCAGGTACTGTAGAAAAAAGACAGAATTTAATTCCAGTAAAGTTTCTGAACTTTAACTAGAAAGATATAAATGTGTTATTTGGAAAAAAGATTTCAGTGCTCTCACTCTTTTGATATTTGCACTAATTTTTTATCTCCTTCCACTGTCAATCATTTTAAGTCACAATCATTAAATTCTTACTCCAGTTTTGCTAATTGTTCAAGCTGGAAACATTTAGGGTATCAAAATTCTGTTAGAAACAAAGGTAGACCTCTGCCCTAGACTAGCTGAGCTGCTCTCCTGGGTCTTCCTTTACAACCAGCAATTTGGAGGAATTCTGTTCTTAAGCAATAAATGTGAAGTCAGTATTCTGTTTTTATGTGGTTTTCCAAAAACAATGTCCCTTCTTGTCTGGAGAAGAATTCTGCAGGTCTCAGGGTGTGTCTACTTTGCTGGGATTGTCTGAGTGGAGAGTTGCAGTGATGTTACATAAAATCCAGGTTATACTTTCAGGTTTTGCTTTGGTTTTTTTGTTTTTATTTGTTTTTCTTGTTTCAGAAACTAGATTAAAATTCTGATTTGCAGAGGTTTTCCTGTAAATCACTTTCCCTTTAACATCTTTTGCAAACTGGACTCCTGCTAGGTAATTGCCAAGCCAAGTACCTGTTTGCTTTTAGAACTGATTTCTAGCAACTCATCCACTAACATTGTTCCAGATGCTCAGTTATTAACACTTCAGGGTGCTGACAGGTTGGTGGGATCTGTGTCTCTTGGAAGCATTTTACTGCTGCAGATTACACTGCTTTAAACACCAGTTTGTGTATTGTGGCACATTTTTGATTGCTGGAGTGGAGATGAACTGGTTAATACCGAACACTAGAGAAGGAAAAGACAATCAGTCAGCATTTTCAGGCTTACATTCCTGCCTCACTCCCTTGTCACCCATGTTGAAAAAATAAGTACAGCCTGAGATTCCATTGTATTAACTACAGTAAAGTTTCCAGCTATGGTTCATGCAGATAATTTTCATCTTTAAATAGTACTTTGGAGCATGATTCTGTTTAAAAAGATAACAGCAGGCCATGCCTTGATGTCTCAGAGTATGCCTTGCTTAGTCCCTATGAGTGGGTATTTAAAACAATAATTACAGAAGAACTGTCTTTGTTGCTTTTAATGACAGTGTTTGTGTCATGTTTTGGAATGATGTGAATGATAATTGATTTTGTAAATGTTCACATAGCTATTAAACGAGTTAATGGTTGCTAACAGTTTTAGTGGGGTTTATATTTCAGTTACCTTCACAAAGTATAGCAGTAAAAGAGCTACGAGTAACGAGAAGTTCAACAAAATAGCATATAATTCACATTAACTGTATGGAATCCACTTTTCTGGGCTTGCTGGTGACTTTGTTTTTTCTCTGGTGTCGTGTTTCCTGCAGTCCATGGCAGAAGTCCTTGCTAAGAAAGAGGAGTTAGCAGATCGCTTGGAAAAGGCCAATGAAGAAGCCATTGCCAGTGCCATTGCAGAGGAGGAGCAGTTAACCAGGGAGATTGAGGCAGAGGAGAACAATGACATCAATATCGAGACTGACAACGACAGCGACTTCTCTGTGAGTGTCCACCTTATTTGAATGCACCCAAGTTCAAGCTGTCTTTGTTGTCAGTGGAGTATGAATATAGAATTTGTTAATGTAATCTATTTTACGTGTGAGCTAAATAATGTCATGTAATAATTACACCACACTAAGGTGTATTTAGGCTTACTAAACTCCCAGCACAGTGCTGCTGAGTGGTACAGAGCTCTCTGATGTTGCAGCTGTTTCTGGGTGCAAAACAGGGAGGAACTGGGACTTTTATCTTCATTACTACCACACAAGAGTAGGTGAAGCAAAAGTCTCCACTTCTGCTGTCAGAAAGAGCAGGAGCAGCATGTGTCTTTGGAGTGCCCAGTTCAGTTTGGAAACACTGCTGAATGTTGCTGATTTGGCACTGTTTAGTGTGTGTGTACACCTGTGAGTTAAGGTTTATGATTTTACTGTCTGGTTCATATTGATTTTCAGGCTAGCATGGGCAATGGAAGCATATCTTTCTGTGGTTTGTCTATGGACTGGAATGATGTTCTGGCAGATTATGAAGGTAAATTTTCACGTTACTGTACTTACATGGAAATGACAGCAAAAATTTAGAAAAATGCCCATTTTACTCATGGCTCGTTAATTCAGAAGTTTCCCCAACACCTAAATATTGTTCCAGGTTATGTTATTTTCTATGTTATTTCCTGAGGGAAGAGGGATAGTTCGTGTGTTCAGACTATCTCTGTGTGTCTTTGTTCTTCAGCTTTCTTTACCCATCTCTCTATTAGAATTTTACATTTTTTTATCCGGTTTTACCTTAACATTTGGATAAAAGCGTGATAAAATAATTAAGCCTTAAAATACGCAGAGATTAGAGATAAATGTGATAAAATAATTAAGCCTTAAAATGTGCAGAGATTAGAGATAAATGTAACATTCTTCAGGCTGCGTTTGCACCTAGGCTCAAGGGAACCCATCGGAGGGAGAACTTCAAGAGGAGCTAATGCTTGTTAATCACCCTTTTCCCAGAAAAGCTGTTGAAATTCTCCCATCTTTGTTTTCCTCCTGCCCAGCTCGTGAGTCCTGGCGCCAGAGCAACTCCTGGGGAGACAGAGTGGAGGAGGAGCCCGCCCGTCCCCCCGGCCACGGGATCCACATGCACGAGAAGCTGTCCTCGCCCTCCCGCAAAAGGTTCCTCCCTCCTTACCTGTCTGCCTGGGCCAGGGAAAACAGGCAGCCAAACCCATGGCTACTTGAAACTCTGTTTGAGTCTGTGGGTGGAAAGGGTCACAGAAAGCTCTAGATGTACTTTTTCATAATGGTCTGGGCTCGTACTGCATCGTCCACTAAAGATTTGAAGTCTAGAAGAAAAGTATTCACATTTACAGGAAATAATTGCCCTCCAGTGGCCTATTTTTTTTTCCTCTTTCTGAAATGACATAGAAATGCTAACTACACTGTCAGTTAATGTTGTCTCACTTGCTTTTGCTCTGCTTTGGTTTTTATTAAAAGAACAATAGCAGAATCCAAAAAGAAACATGAAGAGAAACAAATGAAAGCTCAACAGTTGAGAGAGAAGTTACGTGAAGAAAAGACACTGAAGCTTCAAAAATTAATGGAGAGGGTAAGCTTTCTGTAATGTAAAGAGCTGCTCTGCTGCCTTTCAGAAAAGACATTTTTTTCCACAGTCTAAACATGTTAGAGATTAAAACTGGTTGAAATGCAGTTTGCATCTGAGTTTACATAGTTTTCACAGCTATTAAAGAAAACATTATTTCAAATTATGAACTTCTGTGAGAGTGTTGGCGACATACTAGACTGCCTCAGACTCAAGGATGACATAAAAAGTAGAAATGTGTTTCATGTATCCAGCAGAAATGCTAAAACTCACTAAACTGAAGCAGTTTGGGTGTACTTTGGGTTAAACTTAATGCAGGCTTTGTGTAGGGCCTGAAAGTATTTGTTTCCATGAAGAAAGCTTCAAGTATTAGAAAACCCTGAGGAAAATTCAGGCCCTATTTTCAGTTGCTGTATTAGTAACAAATCTACTCATTCTACATAGGAGAAAGATGTGAGGAAATGGAAAGAAGAATTGTTAGATCAAAGGCGCAGGATGATGGAGGAGAAGTTACTCCATGCAGAATTCAAACGTGAAGTGCAGCTACAAGCAATTGTGAAAAAAGCACAAGAGGAAGAAGCTAAGGTAGGTTACTTTGTTTTAGAGAGGAACAGTTTAAGAGTTGTGCTTTTATATATGTTGCACCTCAAGAGTGCTCATGTAGGTTCTGAGGGAGGGTGCAAGTTAGACATGAACACCTGTGAACTGTGAAGCAGGTGGATGCTGATGTCTAAACAGACCATTTTTCTCTAGTATGAATTTAAATGAATTAGCTGTTATTAGACATCGTGGTGGGTTGGACTGGAAGACAAGAGGGTTGAAGTAGAAGAGCTGATAGTTGTCTTGCAGAGTACGGCAGCATTTTCAGTGGTACCTAGTCCTGGAAGGAGTAGGAGATGTGATTGTCAACTCTCTGCTTTTCACATGTAGAAAGAGAAGGGGGGGAGTTCATTGCTCTTCTCCTTTGTTAAACATCTATTCTAGATCAAGCTTTCTATCCTTTAACAGTAGTTCTGTTTCTGTATTTTGTACCACTGATTTGTTAAGCAGCTGGAAATAGATAGAGACCTGCAGTTATTCTAAAATAAGTATTTTGTTTAGTGCTTTTCTGACTTAACACATAGTTCCATAAGATGAGCACTGGATGGGTGCTTTTTGGTTTGCCTCATTCATATGACTTTGATAAACATTTTCATGGTTTAACCCCAACCAGTAAGTAACCACCACACAACCACACACCTGTGGGGTGGGGGAGAGAGTCACAAGTGTAAAGGTGAGACATAGAAAGAGTTTAATAACTGAAGGAGGAAATCAATTCAAAGGAAAAGGAAAATAACAAAGAGAGATAAATAATACCCAAGAAAGACAAGTGGTGCAAAAGCAAATGACTGGCAGTCCTCAAGCAGCGACCCCTACCAACCTCCCCCATGCTTTTGTTGCTGCACATGATGTCCTGTGCTCTCAAATATCCCTTTGGTCACTTGGCCTTGACACTGTGCAAGCCCTACTCAGCAGTAACTAAAACATCCCTGTGTTATCAGCACTGTTTCCAGCACAGATCCAAAACATAGTCCCATAGTAACTACTGTGAAGAGAATTAACTCTATCCCAGCCAAAAGCAGTACAATACAAATAAAATATCTTATTTTTAAAGACTGTTTATCCCATCTCCTTAAAACCAAAATGTTTCCTTTTATGATGAGCATGTATCCCAGCTGTGATTGATGCAGCTGTTCATCCGTGTTATTCAAGACAAGCACAACAAAACTTTGATTAAAACTGATTTAGCTTTTTTACTTAGTTGCTGTTCCTGTCTCTTGGATTAAAATGATTTCTAGACGACCTAATTCACTCTAACATACCTTCATTATTATTTCATTACACAGTGTGACTTCTGTAATTACATTAACTAAATCACACTTGCCATAATTCCCCAGATAAGCAGATGTTTCATATATTGTGTGTGTTTAAATGTGTAGGATCTGCTGCCTCGTGAGGCTCTTGTGTTGTGGAAATAAAGGTTAGTTGGGCCAGAAGGCTTTAGAGAAATAGCTGATGAGTAGGATAACTGCAGCCCATGGTAACTGTTGCTGCCCAGTTGGTTATCTAAATTCCCAGTGCTTGCTTGTTTACTGACCTGTAAAATCCATTCTGTAAATGGATTCTAGTCAGTAAACAAAGTTACAGATATTATCCTACCACCCTTTACGTGATCTGTTGTTGTCTGTCCATTTATGTTCTCTTTACTCAATATTTTAGTGTACACATTGAAGTTCTTACCTTTTCTTTTCTTTTTTTGTTCTTGTGTATTGCACTATGCTGTGGTTGAAAAAGGTAATATATGTTTATGAAGTAGGCTATATGGATAAGAAATATGAAGACTGTTAGCTTGTTTGGTTTTTTCTTACTCATAATATATATAGTTTCACTTTTTTAATCAGTAAGTACACATTTATTTAAAGTCAGGTAAAAAGACCTGTTGGATTCTACTAGCACTTACTTATTTTACTGATTTATCCATCTGGGTCTTAACATTCCACATGTTATGAATGAGAGAACAGACTGATGAAATCTCGTTGCTGAGAGGATTGGGAAGATTTTCCTTTATTTTACCCAAAGTTTCTTGTTTTTTCTGATACAATTAGTTTTCTCTTTTTATATTCCATGGGTTGTCTCATTTAAAACAAACAAAACAATAAAACAACAAAAAACCCACATTAAAAACTCTAAAGACTTATTCTCAACTTGGTAGTTTTCCAACCCATTCTGGAGAAACGTCCCACCAGTTTATCAAATGAGTGGAATTCCCTAAGAATGAAACCCGTTTCAGCTTCTCAGGCCTTTTCTTGTGCTTTCTGATTATTTGCAGGTCAATGAAATTGCATTTATAAACACCCTGGAAGCTCAGAACAAACGTCACGACGTGCTGAACAAACTCAAGGAGTACGAACAGCGTTTAAATGAGCTGCAGGAGGAGCGGCAGCGAAGGCAGGAGGAGAAACAAGCCCGTGATGAAGCAGTTCAGGTACAACATGTCTGTGGCTGCAGGGGGACAGGGAAACATGGGCTGTGTTTCCTTTTGGCTCTGCAGAGTCCTCCTTGCTTTCTGTCTTCCCTCCTTTGTTCGGCTTTGGAAAAGTGAATTCTAATGTGTTTCTCCTTTGAAATGTTTCCATGGTTAAAGGGAGGAAGGTAAATCATAAAACCCCCGTAGCAGGAGTGCCATAACTGCTGGGTAGGTGACTCGTGCCTGTCTTAAGGGTTTTTTGGAAAATATTTGTTACTTCTTCATAAACAAAATCCTTATGTTTTAGTGATAGTTAAAACTTTGAGAGAGGAAACAGTAAGATAGTCCTTAACATATGCCTGCTGTCATAATTACAGTACTTTTTACAGGATCAGGGGAAACCACAGTGCAAACGTGTTTGTGTTCCCGGAGTTCTGGTTGCTTTTTGTTTGGGGTTTTTTTATTTTAAAGCAGCATTTCAGTACTAGGTTTTCCCAGCCTCATGCATCCACTTTTTTGGCACTGTTCTCTATGTTAGAATCTAAACCAAGCTTTCTTCTGATATAAACTCCTCCTCCCTCTCTATACATATGTCAGATCACCACAACTGTAGGTCACTTCTGGATCCAGTTTCTGCCAGAGCTTAGTTCTTAGGCTTAGAAGCTGATCCTATCTCCTTATTGAAAAATGGGGCATGTTACTGACTTCAGTGCTTCTGAGGCCATTTTTTGAGACAGAAGATACTCTGAAAGGGCTGGATAAAACTCTTTTTGAGAGATTATTTGGAAGTTTATGGATTTCGAAGGGTCAATTGAATTATCAGTGAAAAGTACCCTTCTAGATTGTTTATTAAAAACCTAATCCCAGTGATCCTGTTTTTTGTAGTTACTTATGTTCCCTTTTTCCAGATCACAGTTATAATTGAATTCCTTTCTGTGGTTTTGGATTTTTTTAACTCTGTCTTCTCTCTACCCTCTTTTTAGCCCTTTCCTGGGTTGTGTAGACATAGGTCTGTTCCTAGGCTGGCAGTTGAACATACATTGCAGACAGATTTCGGTCCTAAATCCCACTTATGGCCACACTGTTCTCTTTGTATCCTTTCTGCCAGACCAAGGATCAAGCTGATGCTTCCTGCTGTGCTTTTTCCATGCTCAAGTTGCTTAACAGTTGAGCAATACATTTTGAGCCCTATATTTTGTTATTTCTTCATTACCTGTATCCTGTGTAGGATGTTTAAAATATTTTCAAATAATCTTGTTGGTGAACTAGACTAATAAGCTTTTATATTGCATAGACTTCTTGAGAATGAGCAAAATATATGGTTAATGAATGTGCAGGTTAGTTCATCCAGCCTTGCTTTCAGCGTGCGCTCGAGCTTCTGAACAGGCTCATATTTGCATTTTATTCCTTAAAAACGCCCTTCTTACTTCATCATGAAAGACAAAATGCAACCAGCAGATGTTAAATACGGTTTCTGTTGATTCCCTTTTAATTTTGCCCTAAAAGAAGGGCTGGGGTTGCCTTGTCTCCGGCATTGCCTTGTCTCCGGCAGGAGCGCAAGCGGGCGCTGGAGGCGGAGCGGCAGGCGCGGGTGGAGGAGCTGCTGATGAAGAGGAAGGAGCAGGAAGCGCGGATTGAGCAGCAGAGGCAGGAGAAGGAGAAAGCCCGGGAAGATGCAGCCCGGGAGAGGGCCAGGTAACTTGGCAATCCTTTCTTTGGCTCCCTGCCCCTCACCATTCTCCTCTCCAGCAAAGTGCACCTTCCCCAGAACAGCAGGACCCTCCTGGCTCGTCAGGAATTTCAAAGGTAGCATTGATCACTGTTGATCACTGTTCTTGATGAGTGGTTTGAAAGAAGAAATCAGGTGAGTCATCATGAGTTCTGTAACAGATTTTTGTATTCCTTAGGCACATGCACAATGTTAGGATGCAAGACTATATGTTACTACATTCATCTAAGTTTTATTGCTGACAAGACCTTTTAGTAATTTGCCTTTTTTATATTTTACCTTCGTTTTCAAAGGAAACAAGATTAATGTTCCCATGTTCCCCATTTCCTCCACTCTCCAGTAACTTTTGGACTTACTGGCATCAATTGAATTTTACTATTTTGTAGACACCAGAGATCACATTTGTGAAGCACAAAATTGGGAAATCAGGCTTCATTAATTCTACTGCCTATGAACTACTTGGTTTATGGTTTTGTCCATAATCAAAAGTTCATAAGGAGGATTCCACATAGGCTCTCCTCTCCCTTTCTTTTATGCCAAAAATGAAGTGCAGAGAGTGAACACTGAGTGTGAGAGAGGTTTACTTTCAACTCTGAAAGGGGAAACTACAATTCTGCTTGTTTAATTTGCAAAATTCTGTTTGTATTCACCTCCTATTACTCCCTGTTTTCCTACAATTCTCCTTCTACAGGCATTCCATAAAACCTGGATAGAAGTTACATTTTTTCAGTGACAGGTGTTACGAATGGTTCTTTATCCATTTCTGTTGTCATGACTTGTTTTCTTCAGAGTTGTCACAAAGGGAGTGTTTTTTTCTCCAAGTAAAATATTCAGAAATGTATTGATCACCTTTCATCTTCCAAAGTCATGAGTGACATCATAAAGAGATTTAGCTTTCCATTAGATGTGTAATGAATTCTGGGTAGGATTTATAGCCTTTCCCAGGACTTCGTGGACCTTTCCTCAGTGTATTGAGCCAAGTCACAATAGGATACAGTGAGTTGGAATGAATCCTTCAGTATCTTGCTGTTGTTCACAGACACTTGAGGAAGGTTAGGACTGAGAGGGAGAATTTGGTCTTGCTATTTTGGGAAGGTAGACAGTGCATCTGTAAGGCTTCTGCATCTTTCTGGAATTTGAGGAAACCCTCACAGTGAGCAAATGTGAGATATTTGTCCCATTGACATCTCTGTCCTCTAAGCTCTTCTACAGTTAGAACTTGTCTAACAGCTCCAACCATGTAATTCTTCGCTCCTTTTGTTTAGTCAGTGATAATCTACCACTTCCCTTTGTTGCACCCCAATTATTTCCTTATGATATGTGAGAAACTGCAATTTCCATTTCCCTTCTGTTAGTATTGTGTGTCAGCAAATTTCCTCTCTATTTGCTGCTATAACACTCAGTTTTCAAACACTTTGTACTTGATATTGCAGTGCCGTGCTTGCACTTGTTTTTCTTTGCCAGATGCTGATTACACAGGAGAGATTTTGCCTTTTTTGTCTTTTTTTTTTTCTGATAATTTTGGGAAAGAGTAGGAAAGAATGTATTTGTGGTTTCCTACAATCTGTTATGTCAGAATGGCTTCAGAGTCATTACATGTCCTTAATAACAGTTCTGGGGTTTCTCTAACAGAGCAGAATTAGAGGAGGATTTGCTCTCCTGGTTTCCAAGTTCAGGGAGGGATGAGCCTGACAGGGAGTTGGCTGTGCTGTCCCCTCCACCCTGGATTTCAGTGTGTTGTGGTGGAACCTCGGGGTATTATTTGGTGTTTTGTTGGTTTTTTTTTTCCTGCTGCTAGGATTTAGCTTGTATCCTGAAGATTTAATACTTGCTGGAATGAATAATTTTTGTAATATCTTCTTAAAGTTTCTTCAGTATAAGCTTTACCATGTGCATCTGGTGGTGATTAAAGCATCTGTATGAAAGGAATAGTGTACTTAAAACTGACTTTAAAAACCCCTCTGCCCTTATGGTACATTAACTTGTTTCCAGTAAGGTTTTCGTTGTAATTTCAAAGTATTTTTATATTCCAGAGAGTTGAATTCCATAATATGGAAAGTTTTGTTCTTGTCAATAGAAATCATATACTGTACCCAAACCATGTAAAAAGAATGCTTTCAGAAGGGCTTGTGCAGGAGTAATGTTGGTGCTTTATATATGGAAACTTGAGAATTTTGTTTCAAATACTATTAACCCAAAGTATGCAATGATAATAATTTGTTGGAGTTTGTAGCATTAAACAAATACGTAAAACCACAAACTGAAAGAAACAGCTAAAATAAGCTTTGGGTTTGGGTCATGTGTTAGTTGTGTTTTGTTTCAGTTCCTGATGTGAGTCAGGAGCTCTTTAAAATACAAAGACTGTAGTTCAGTTTTCCTTTATATACCTCAGGGGAGACAGCACATAAACTACCTAATGCTTCTCTTCCTCACCCCCCACACCCATGGCAATTCAAGAGTTCACTTATTCTTTCTGAAAGAACAGTTGTTTAGTGTTTATCATGTGACTTACTTCCTCCCCCATCTTCTTTCCTATCTGCTTTTGTATTTTCTGTGGCTTTTTGTTTTCAAATGTTACTTTATCTGAGCCTTCTACTTTTATGTAAATGATTTTGGGTTTTTTATCAGATTTCTGTTTAAGAAACAAAATCCACTCATAACAAAACCCATTGCAGTTTGGGTAATATTCCTTATGTTAACCTTTCTAGTTCTGTCCCTCAAGCTACTTTAATTTTAGAATGCCTTTTAAAAAGATGGCTGATGGCTTTGAATGACTTCATAGCTCAGTTTTACTCAAAGCTTTTGGCCCTTCAGAGCTGCCAGGCTTCTGAGAGAAGTGTTGCTCTCCCATCCCACTTCTTCTTGTACAAACAGCATGAGGAGCTGACTGTCTTCCTTTGTAGGATTTCATAGCTCCCTTGGCTTACTGATCACTGGGAAGTTGTTCTTGAAACTGTTACCTTTTCTCAGACAGGAAAGAACCCAAATCTCTTCAACAGGTGATGCTTGGGAATTCACAGACTCTTTTGACACCCACATGTATGAGATCTGTGCTGGGGAGGGGAAGAAGAGTTGCTCAAAATGAAGAGGACAAGTGAAGTGTGAGGCATGATTCAGTTTTGGGAAGAGGGATGTAGGGCACACAGGTTCAGTGAGCAAAGTAGGAGAAGGTGACAGATGAATGTCTCCTCTTTTGCTCTCCTTTGGTCTCTTGAACATTTAGAATTGCAGGATTCCAGAGCATCAGTTTATCCCTCACAGCTGTACCATTGGATGTTGGTCAGAGTTTCATCTGTAAGTTCCTGTATTCAGACTTCCTCTGATGAAATGTTTCTGTAGAACACACTGCCCTCAGTGCTGGGAAGTTTCTTTTCAATTTGCTGTTCCACTCCTCCCCTTTGGTTCACTGAGTGCAGCTGTTGGCTGAAGGATGCAAAGGGTGACATGGTCTCACATTCCTCACTGCTGACTGTCATTGCTCTGATTTGGACTGAAGGATGGTCCAGGCACTGCTGCAGAGGTTCTGTGTCTGTCTTTATTAAATCATTCCAATGAAAATATTTGTATTCTCTGTTAACTAAGTTGCTTTTTGCTGTTTTTCTTTTCTCCTGAACCATCTTCAGCTTCATTTCTGGGTGTTTTTTTTCTCCATTTCTAACAGAAATCTGTCAGTATTATTCATGCTTTACATTATTGCAAGTTCTCCCTATTTTTCTTGCCTTTTGGTTAGAGATCGAGAAGAGAGGTTGGCAGCTCTTACTGCAGCTCAGCAAGAAGCCATGGAAGAACTACAGAAGAAGATTCAGCTGAAGGTATGAAAGGATACATTAGTTGAAAAATACATCCATTTTTCTTTGCACAGTTTGATTCCACCGTAATTCAACGTGATTTTTCTTCGTTGCTTTGATTATTTTCCATTCAGCATGATGAAAGTATTAGAAGGCACATGGAACAAATTGAACAAAGAAAAGAGAAAGCAGCTGAATTAAGTAGTGGAAGACATGCTAATACTGATTATGCACCAAAACTCACCCCCTATGAACGAAAGAAACAGTGCTCCTTATGCAATGTGATGGTAAGTTGGATCCAGGGAAAACTGTTGGAATTGCTGGGCCAACCCAAGCCATGAAGGTACAAGTTGTGCTTCACTCACAGATGAGAGTGTTGCACATCTACTGTGTCCCCTCTGCTCTGCACCTTACTCTGCATTCTTCTGTCTGTGTAAATCTATAAAGATGGGTTAGGGAGGGTTTGAAAGAACTGTAGAGTTGTGGGTGGAGTGGAGAGTGTGGGCAGTGCCCAGTTATTACCTGTCTCTGCCAAGAAAAGCAAGGATCCTGGAGCATCAGATGGAAGGTGGTTTAAAGCCAAGTAAGGAATGTGGTTCTTTACCTAGCAGGTAGCTGAGCTGTGAACACCTTGTTCTAAGATCCTGTGGATATTTGAATTTGCTGTGAGTTCAGGGGTTGATTGGACAGGTTTCATTGGATTGAAGTTCACTGAAGGATATGGAGAAACCACATCAGACTCAAGAAATTCTTGAATTGAGTTTGGTTGGATGCTTAAAAGGGATGGAAGGGAAAATTAGTGTCTGCTTTGTCTCCTCTTTTCCTTCATTGTCTTATTTTTTGATCACTGATGGAAGCCTGGCAGATTTCCAGCCTCCCAGGATGTCTCTGCTTGTGTCTGCCCTTCCCTGTATCCCAGGAAAAATGCAGAAGAGAAGCCATACACTCACTGAGCAGGAAGATGGGAGATCTCTTCTTATTGATAACTGGTTTCACTGATTTGCAAGGACTGTGCATTATTGCAGCCTTATATGCTACTAAACACTATTTCCTGTAATTGCTAAATTGAGCAACATTGCTTGGGATCACCTCAGGCAGTGCTGGAACAGAAACTCAGGCTCAGCAGACTGAAGTCTTGCAATACTCACTGATCATGCATCTCAGAATGAAAATCCAATACATGGAGTTAGATTGAAGTAAGAATGAGATGAGAAGCCAAGATTTTTTTAATCTGTTATTACACTACTGGCTAGCAAATCATTCTGTAATTTACTCCTAAGTCCTGCATAAAAGATGTTTATGTAAATTAGGTTGAGGAGTAAAGTACTGTGCTTGAATTTTCTGAACATACTCCTGACAAATTGGCATATTTTTTATTATATTTTAAATACTGTTATTTATGGATGATGGAATTTGCAAAGGAAAAATAACTATTAAGTCACTGTCATTACAGATTTCATCAGAAGTGTATCTATTTAGCCACATTAAAGGGAAAAAACACCAACAAGCTGTGAGAGAAAACAGTAGTATACAAGGACGAGAGCTTTCAGATGAAGAAGTGGTAAGTTTTGTCATATTTTTTATATTATCTCTAGTTTTAAATGCCATTCAGCTGAGTAGCCTGTGAAAGTCTTGAGAATTCTTATAAAGGAATTGAACATTTAGCGTGGGAATCATAGCAGACTAATGAAAATAAATGAAAGAAACAGTGCATTCAGATGCTTCAGGCAATTGCCATTTGAAACAGATTCTCTATAAAATGTGACAAATCTCTATTAATCAAAGGCAGTTTTCATCTTGCTATAATCCTTTTATCATAAAAATCTGGTATGTTGCAGGTGTCGGCATCTCGCATTTTTCCTTTGTTCCTTCTTGTTGCTGAAAATACCTCAGTCCTTCCTTACGTGGTCAGAGTGGTGTCCTGTGCATCAAGGTCCAGAGTACTCAAAACTGTAGTGCTAAATTACTTTAAAATGTTAGGTTGGAAATGTTTTTTAAGTATTAACATTGCTAAGAAGAGCAATAGTTAGTTTTTCAGTAGCTTCTTTAGAACAGTTGGCACTTCGGGTGATTTTTAGGAATTGAGGATGTTTCTTACTAAATCAAGAGACTGTGCTGTAGAAAACACACTTGAATTGTTGTCTGGTTTAGTTTTTCTTTGCTGCTGCCTGAATTTAACTACAGGGTTAAGTCAAGGCCTTTTCTATGGGAATTTGAGTTCTGCCACATCCCAAAAGAATTGTGAATGCCTGTGTATTATATCTGCCAGGGGTCAGGAGGACATACTGAGCAGGCCAGTTCTTCAGTGCTGATTCAGGTTTAACTTGGTCATGTTTGGAAATCTGTTTCCGATGACACCGTTCAGTTGTCGTAATTTTTTTCACTTTCCTTCCCAGTTTTTGTTACTATTTTATGTACTAAAATATCTGTGTTTACAGTTTCTTACATCCAGTTGTAACATCTTTACTTTTCTAAAAAGCTTTGGAGAGTTAGGTCTCTGAGGTCCTGAAACCCACAGGGTTGGTTCTTGGTTATCACTGAAAGAACAGAAAAAGATAATTGGAGAGATACAGGAGTCTGGAGGTTAAATGTTTGCTGAGCTGCACTTTGCCACCCCTTCCCAATTGTAATGAAAGTACATACACTGTTTTTTCAGCTGCTTTTTTTCCTCTTGAACAGTGGTTAGTGGGCAGTTGTGTGATTTTGGATTGGGTGTTTAGGTGCCAGGCATACCTCACTGGATGTATGGGAGGAGGCTCCCTGCTGCATCCCTTTGCCTGGAAACACAAGCTGGGAGCCAAAGTGTGGCCAGTCTGTAGCACTGGGATGGGCTGGGATCTCTCCAGCCTTTGCTGGTGTCTGTCTGGCCACTGGTGACTGAACTGTGGTTCTTGCTGGGCAGCTGGCTCAGATGAATCTGGAGGAAAACAGTGAACTGGATCTCCTTTTGATTTAGCATTATCCACTCTGATGTGGATAACAATTCCAGCTTCCCGAAAAAGGCATTGCTCAGGACTCTTCCTTTGCTCTTTCCATTCCACACAGCTCTGCTCTCTCTCACATGCAGTGGTAGCTTTATTTTTAAGGAACTTGGGAAGCAAATAATATCATATTTTTCCTTTTGGACAACCTGAACCCATGTTAGATGGTGACAAGACATGCTCTGGTGATCTCTGGTATCCCAGGAAATCCCAGAGCAGGGCAAGGTGTGATAGACTCTATTCTGGCATAGGGAACATGTACTTTCCAGCATATTTTCTTCACGTACCAACAACTGCTTTTGCACCCAGCTGATGGAAACAGAAGTTCCACTAGAGGGCACAGAGATCCTGATTTTTGTGGGGTCCAACATCATGTGCTTAAATCCAGGGTTTCTCAGCAAAAAATTTTGATGTGAACTTAAGACCAAGTTTAGGGTTAAATGTATGTTTCTCTTGAATAATAATGCAGGAGAGAAAGGAGAGAACAGTTCTAACTGAATGAACAGTTTGAGGATTATGATAGTGGATTTTAATATTCTTCAGGGGGTGCATAGTATTTAGCATGCTGGCAACATATGGATGCTTCCACTGTTAAATATTTTATATATTATGTATAGTTATATTTCAATTAGTCTGAGTATAACATTCTGAATTATATTCTTGTAATCTGAAATTTCCTTGGCTTGAGGCCCTCTCTGCTTTTCATTACTTATTATTTTTTCCAAAGAGCAGTAGTAAGATATGCATGTTAGGGATATGGTCACTGCAATGTAGGAAAGTAGTTTTATTTATTGGAGCAGTCTGCTTTGTGTACCTCTTTATTCAGCATGCACAGTTAATGCCACCTCCACAACTAAAGCCTTCAGTAACTTCTCAAGTTTTGAAATAATTGAGAAAAAAAATCAAGAGTATTACATAGAAGTAAAACCATATCCCAGGGAAGCTTTATAATACCCATAGTTACTTATTTATCACTGTTTTCAATTTTTTAGTCAGTGAAGGTAACTCTAGTGAGAACATACTTGTACTACTTAAAGTTATTACTTGTCATCTGTGATGTCTTTAGATTATATATGTCTTGCCTGTGACCCTTCTTCTTTGACAGAAAAGATTTTATTTATATCACCTTTGACCTAATAAAATTTCACCTTTAACCTTATGCACTTGACACCCCAGATAACTTACTCTTGATCTCTGACTCATTTTGTGTTCAGCCTGCTCAGTATAATAGGGAGCTGCCTAGAAAGAAAGCTTTTTTGAAATTGTAATCTGAGCATAGAATTTCTTTGTTATTACTTGAGAAATCACAGGACTTGAAATATTTTTGTCTGTATTGGTGTCTCAGAAGGTAAGATTTAGGTATCTCCTTAAGACTTCAAAAACTGATTTAAATAAATGATTGTATCATTTCTCTTCACATGGTAAGGATTGTTTTTGCTTGATTTGACTGTAAACAGAAAGTTAAAAACTGTACTAAATGGTCATTGACACTGAATTTTCCAGGCTGGGTGGATGCTGGGATTTGATCTTGCCAGATGGAAAAAGAAACTGATACATTCTAGGGCTTTTCCCTTTGCTGTAGCATTTACAAGTTCTGTACTTTTACAGACATTTTCAGAGATAAAAGCAGACTTCATGTTGGAGCAGCATCCCATTGTTTTGGAATTAAACATGTATTATGTTTAATTCCATCATGTGAGGTGAATTCACTTGTGGCTGTGATGTGCTTGGTGGAACACACAAACAAAAGAGTTTTGCTTTGAAGGTAGATACTAAAAATGAAAAAGCTTGAAGTTCTTTCTCAGATTGTGTGACAGCTTTGTTTCACCTCAGCCTTTTGGGTGAAAATCCCCTCATTTAGGGGTTTATTAGTCTCCAGCTGAAACAGATGGAGATTTCTCTTACAGAGAACACCTACAGGTTTTGAAACATTTTGAAACTTGTGCAAGCAAATTAAAGTTCTATTCACATTTTTTATTTCCTTTGTAATTTCACTTTTCTCTGGCCTTTTATAGATAGATGAATTCACATAGTTGGTGAAAACTCTTCCAGCAGGCTAAAAGCCATCTTTCCTTCCCTCCCTTTCTGAAGCTTTCTCTGTCCCACGTGCTTTCCCCGTGCAGTAACAACGTTCTGTCTCCATTATCTCTCCCTGTTTAAATGCCTGGCTTCTTCCAGCAAACTCTCAGCTTTCCCTCCTTTTTGCATTGCCCTTTTCTGGGCTATTGATTTCCCGTCCCCTCTCTCAATATCCATATTGCTTTCAGCTCAGCAAAGGATGTAAACAGTGTAAGCAATTTGCTTTCATTGACTTCACTGGAATCAATTAGTATGTTTGTAGTCCTGGCTAATTACTTTGCTGAATTAAAGCCTGTGTGACACAAAGACCTCCCTGAGAAGGTGCCTGTGAAAGCCACAGGACAACACCTGGTGATTTCATTAGGCTGAGGGGTCTCTGCAAGGACCTTGTAGATGTTTGCTCCCACTTGTAGCTCCTATTGATTCATTTTTGTGTCCCTCTGCTTTCCCTTTTGTCTTTGCCTTTCTTGCCTGTCCTAGTTTGCCTTGAGAAATACCCCTAAGATCAGTAATCCTTACAGCTTGCTCCCTTTGAACCATTGTCCCAGCTCTTGTCTGTATCTCCTGGCATTTATTTATATGCCATGGTTTAAAGGTACTTTTAGAATATAAATCATGTCATGCCATGTGGTCTATGAATGTTTCCAATAAGTGAAAAGTACTTCTAAAAACCAGATGAAATAGATAACTTGGCAGGAGTTGCTTAATTTATATAAGGTGCATGCTAAAATTTTATGTATTCTGAAGCAGGATGGAGGAATATTAATGAACCTTTGTTTGCATATGTGAAAAATGTGCTTTTTTTTTTATCAGGGAAGAAAACTGACTCTATTGTCGTTATATAAATGAAACAAAGAACTTCTAAGAGGTGTATTTAGATCAAATGAAAACATAATCCCATGATGGAGCAGAGAGGTGGTTGTTGTCTGAAGACTGACAGCACTAAAATGTGAGGATTTATATAAGGACATGGTTGGTTGAGCCCACCCACGTTCCTTTGAAAAAACCAGCTGGCCAGTGCCTGAAGCTCCCTCAGGAGTGTTTGCTGCCCAGTTGGCCAGGGCTGCAGTGTGAGCCTGCCTGGCACAGCCCTGCCCAGGGCCCAGGCTGTGATTTACAGCCTGTGCTGTGCTGGCAGCTCCCCCGGGCAGGCTGGTGCTGCTGCAGGACGTGCTGGGAGCCAGCCTGGGCAGGGCTGTGCCAGCCAGGTGGGGGTCACAGCCAGCACAGCACACGGGCAGAGCTGGTGTTCCTGGCAGCTGGAATTTCTAAAAGCTTTTTAGGGTGAGGAGTTGTCGTTCTGAAAGAAATGGAGCTGTTCTCTTAAAGTTGTGTTCTGCTTCCGTTATTTGTTGCAGAGGAAATTACTGATGGAAAGAGATGTGGGAATAGTTTCATGCCTTACCCTTGCTCTTTTTCTTCAGTATTTACAAGGAACTTTCTTGTCTGGGACATGATGATGCCTGGAGTTTGCTAAATTTTTTTTTTTTGTTTGCTATGT